ATAAAATAATACATATACTACTAAGCACGTGGATTAACTTATCGAACATTTTTCTAACAATTTATAATTTCAAGCTTAAGTCCTAATTAATATATTAAATACTCAAATTTTTGTAATTTGATAATTATATTAATAAAATTTAATATTTATAAAAATTGTTAAACGAAATATCTCTTGTCAAAATTACTCGTAAAGTGATTTCATGCTATATGCAATATAATTATATACGTTAGTATATTATATTATAAAAACCCTTTTTGGTGAGACGATAGAAAATAGTTCACGTGGCCATGCAGCATATCTATAAATTTGGTATAATGAATTGATCAATTTCTTCACGGTTTTTTTTATTTCCTTTCTATTTACATTATATGTTTGAAAAATCAAAATCACTTTACACACAAAATTTTGATTTATAAGAATTCTAATTTACAATTTGCATTTTGGGAAAACATCTAACTTTATCGTCAGCTATCTCCTCAGCAATATCTTGACTTTCTCACACATTAATTAATACATCTTTTGATGGAAATAGGCTAAGTGCATGTATGGCACGCCATGAAACTTGATGATTAAAGTAATGGATTTAAACTATTACACTGTACAAATTAGAGGATTAAAGTACTCGATTTAATACATAATTAATCATAATAGAATGATAAAATATGTAACCAGACCTAAGTTATTTTATCTCTAAAGCCTGAAAAAAGATTTAGATAAAAGCAAAGACTGAAAAAAACGTTTACCCTTTATCTTGTTGGATGCTTAATCATATTTGCAATCCCATCATCTTCAACCATGCTTGTCAAGTAGCAGAGGTGTGAACATTTACTTAACGTTAACACCCATTATCTCTTAAGAAGCTTCTTGATACGGCCAAGTAGTGGTGAATTCTAGAATTAGTCTTTAGCATATTCAAAGTCAATAGCAAGTTTCTCCTTACGAAATCCCATATGCCAAGTTATATACTAACAAGCAATAATACTAACATGCTTTTAATTATTAATTAAAATCTATTAAGAACTATAAAAATATAAATGAAAAGCATTAATTTAAGAGTAAAAATATAACACATAATTTTTATAATTTTTAATCAATTTTAATCTATAATTATAAATGTGTTAAAAATATATATTACTAGCATTCTCTCGTGCTAGAATAGTTCCACTCAAAATTCACACCTCCTTCTTCCCTCTTCATCGTGTCAAGGTAGTAATGAAGAAAATGAACTTCGAGTTTTAATTAAGTTTAACTTATGCAATATTTTGTAAAAAATGTAGTTTGGGTGGAATTTTTCAAAATTGATAAATTTTTGTGGTACTTCTAATAAGCAAAGAAACCATACAAAACATGGATTCTTCTTTTCGATATAATATCAGATCTATTAGTTTTTCTTCATGGCATAAACTATTGTTAAAGCTTATAAATAAAGAAAAGGAAAATACCATGAAGTGATTCTTTAAATTAAATGTAATTTTCATCATCCAAAAAAAAAAAATGAAACATGGTGTATACTATTACTATTAAAACGTTTTTATCATAAGTAAATTTTGTATTCTATTTTAATAAATTAGAGGCCAAATTTCATATAATTTAGTGTATTTTATAGGAATTTTATATTATTATTATTATTTAAAAGTATGTTAAAATTATATTATCCTTTTTTGGGATTAAATATATATTTTTATCTCTTAAAATATATTATTTTTTATTTTTATAAAATTAATTTTAAATTTTTATAAAAAAATTTTATTTTTATTTTTAATCATTATTAAATAATAAAGTGACTAATTAAAATATTATTAAAAATTATTGTGTCGCATAATTATTTTTTATGAAATTAGATAAGTAAAAATATAAAAATTAATAATTTTTAAAATATAAAAATATAAAGATTAAAAATTAAAATATTTTAAAGAATAAAAAATTTAAATTATTAATTATTATTATTATTCTTTAACCACAAAATACGTTGAAATTTACTAATTTGGAGATGATTTTTATATTATAAACGATCATAAAATGAAAAGTGTAACACATTCTCAAGTCAATGCTGGGTCACTTCACGCTGTTGGAATCTTAAAAGCATAGCAGAGGAAGGTGAAAATAATAATTCAGGTGAGGGTTTTTGTGGGCACAATAATTCAGGTGAATTAATAATTCACTTCACGCAAGTGCAAATTTTGGGAAAATTATTATTCATTTGTTATTTAAAAAGCTTCTTTTTTATATACACTTTAGGAATGATGTACCCAGTATTTAATCATAGTTTAATTTGACTTTCAAATAAATGAATAAAAAGCAAGACTTTATCAATGGTTAAAATATTAGGTGCATTTATGAACCTTTACATTTTGGTTGCATTGTATCAGCCTGCTTTTAACATGTTACGGATCTACGTTCAGCTCAAATTCCTGAGAAAGAAGCTTCATTTTGTAATTGTTGTTGATAAAATAAAAATCTAATATAAGTTTATGTTTGATTAATTGTTTATAATCAAAATTACTTTTAATCCTCAACTCGTGTTAGAATATAAATAAAAGAATAAAATGTGTTGATCAAAAGTATCATGATGAAACTTTACAGTAATTTCATTTTTTAAAAATAAAAGCTTATAAACATAGATTATTTCTGTAAAATCTCATATTTAAGGAAAATCATGTTTATAGAATTAAATTAAAAGATTATCAATTTTTAAAACTCCAATCCAAATTCACTGTTCTTAGCTATAAATATGACAATTGATATCAACCCAAAGCCACAAAACAATAGTTTTCTTCTCTTTTCAGAAACATATTTTCCAAAATATATGTATTTTCAAATGTATTATGCCCCCACCATGGACAGATTCCTTCCAATTATTCAATATGGAAAGCTACCAATATAAAGATAAGATCACGATACCTAAGCCTACATATAGGGTGAGAACATCCTTTTCTCAAATTTGGATCCTCTTAAGTGAAAAAAAGATGTATAAACTAAAAAGGTGAGAAAATATTCATCCTTCATTTCGAAGTAGTTAAGTTCGTAAGGCACTTTAATAAATTTTAGAGCTAACTATTTTCTCACTCTTCTCAATTTGTACATTTCTTCATTCAGATAATCCAAATCCCCTTTTATCGAAGTACAATTGCATTTATTTTGAAATTTTCCTAAGTTATTTTTGAAAAAGAAATATCAATAACATATTTTAAAAAAAAATTGATAAGCAAGATATTTTATGTTTACATGGTTATTTTGAAATGAACATTATTGATTATCGACATTTTTATTCTTTATTTCAATGAAGTTATGATGAAAAGTGATAATATGTTACTTCCCTTTAAGATGAAAAGAAAAATCATCTTATAATTTATTTATTAGAGCAAAATTATTTCAATCTCTCTTTTATTTTATACTTCTTACAAAAAAAATATCTTTTATTTTCAAAATCTACACAAAACTCTATTTTCAAAATACATTACACCTAATCTAATTTTAAAGTTGCATTTAATATAACTGATGGTCAACGACCAATATTATCTTGTGTGTTAAAGTAATGAAAGTATGCTTAATTTCCTGTGTTTTTTAAACATTACAAAAAATATTCTTCATATTTTATAAATGCTTTATAGTTAAACTCGTATTATAATAAAAATTTAGAGTAATAATGATTTTTATATCTTCAAAATAATTAAATTGAAATTACTTATTATCAAGGAGGGGTATTTCTTAAAAATTATTTTAGAACACCTATAAAACTATTTAAGAGAAAATATGATTTTGTAAATAGTTCTAAATTTTTATTATAACATGGATTTAATTGTAAAAATTATAAAAATTAGATATATTTTTTTACAAGTACAAAATAGGAGAATGAATATTATATTCTAAAAATATAGAGAGTTTTGCATAGTTGTTTAAACAGTTTTTCTATAGGAAGTCCAAAATAGAAGGGAGATTAAAGTAATCTACTATGATTATTATCTTTCGCTATCACTCTTTTTTATCTCGTTATTTTTTAAAAAGTTTTTTATTTGAATGTTTCATCTTAAATCTATAGCCATATCTTACTTATGTCTTTTTTCAATTTTATACATGAACAAATTCATCATTTCGTTGTTATTATTATTATTATTACGGTGAAAGAGGAAAAGAGAAAGAAAGAAAACAGAAGAAACAAAACAAATTAAGAACCCCTCAAGTACAATACACCAGTAGCGTCCGCTAGCAGAGGCAGATCCAGACCAGGTTGTGGGGAGCTGAAGGAGACAACAATTATCATCCTTAGAAACACCTAACTTTGCCAAAAAGTCAGCACAAAATTTTGCTACCCTTAGAAGATATCGATCTCTTTTATCCCTGATGTGACTGAAGCATATAAGTTGAAGATATTGAGCTCCTTCATAATAAGCAGCACAACTTGACTATAGTCAGCTTCACAGATAAGGCGTTGAATCTCAACCCATACATGTGGGATCAACACTGCCATCCACATTGAGCTAAAAAGCATTCAGGTTTGGTCTCATCCATCTCAAGGGGCAAACCTGAGGCTATATCTTGATTAAATTATTATTTAAACTTCAAAATTCAATGATTTAGTGGCTAATATTCCTCAACGCCTGAAATATATTTGGTATGAAAATTTCTCTTATAAAATACAGGTTATATAAACGCCACTCATTTAAGCATTATCATTTTAGTTAAAAGTCGCATCACTACATTATAACAATTATTAATTTTACATTAAATACCTTGTAAAATTATATAATTTAATTGGTTATTCTAAACATTAAAATTCAACATAAACAAAATCTATAACAATTTCCTTCATCTACCTACCCGCACTGTGAATTGCAGCAGTGGTTTGTATGAACTTAGGTCCAAGCCATGAGAAAGTAGTTCACTTACCTCTAGCCCTATTCTCTGTTGGTCTCACACGCCAGTCTAGTTTTAAAAGACAGCTACTGTAACTCGTGCTTCGATTCGTCCAAAAATAAAACAGCTACAACAAAATGCATAAAATTGAAACTGATATTTTCAAACAATAGTACCCTATTTTAGATTTTGAGTTGGTTATACTTTGTGGGGGGAGGAGGAGACGCTTCAATTGGAAGACAGGTTTAAAGACTTATTACGACATTGATTCCAAATAAACATTTAATTGTAATTTGTAAACAATAAACACCATGGAATTAATCACACGAGACAACAGAAAGTGCTACCCTGAGGTCATTAGACGTTCCACATGTGTACATGCGATGAGTTTCAATTTTTTGTTTAGAAACACTAGCAGCATAGTGATTACCCTTCACCCCATCATGCAGCGTAAAAATAATCTCCCTGAGGATTGGTTCATGACCATTGAGAAGATTGCCCATACTCAAAACCTTTCTCCAAGCCTGGTTTGCAGTGGGTGGAACAAACATATTTGACACAACTTCTCTCTCCTGATTCCACACTTCTCGTTTCTTGTCAAACTCCTAAAAGCATAAAGGATAGAGGAATACATGTCAGTCCATCCTAAGGAATATTGTCTGCATTATACTACCCAAAATCAATGGCATTTCATGGCATAAAGACATTTCACCTTTTTATGAGAGTCTTCTGTCAAGCGTATTCCCATTCTTGGAATATAGAAGTTGAAGAAATCGCTGAAAATTTCTCTGGCAAGTCGTGGTGCTCGTAAAAACTTGCGATGAAGAGAAGCTGCAAATGTCAGTAGTTTCTCAATGTGTTCAAAAACGACACACAGTCGTCTAAGGTCTTCAACGGTCTCACTATCAGCAGAAAAACGATTTACTGCAACAAAATGGAACTGCATAAAATATCATTCTTTTCCACAGATGAGTTAGACTAAAGAATATGGTGTAGGAAGTTAATAAGAAAGCCACATGGCAGCCAGTCAGTTTAAATTCTGATAATTCTGTTATGATTTCTGTTTTTGCGTTGTTAGTTGGTAGTTATAGTTAGTTGGTGCAATGCACCTTTATAAATCGCAAGCTCTAAACTGAGCTCAGGGTTTTGAATTTTCAATCAAAAAATTCTTGTAATCTTTCTTTCTCAATTCAATACAATTCTTTGGATTCTATTCTTCCATTGGAATCCCTAAGTTCTGTAGTTCTTTGAATAGTTCCTATTGCTAGTTCTACCTTCATTAGAATATATACCTTGCAAGGGCTTCAAAGCAGGTGCCATGGTAAGATAAAGTTGCTGCATCATAGTGTCCATCTGTTTCAGCTCTCCATAACTGGTTCGAATCAATGTGTCGGCTGCGGCTCTGAAGGTGGTACACACCATTTGCTCAAGCAACTGATGTGGTTGTAAAGTTTCCAGATAATGAAGAACCTAGAAATTTAAGGATTCAGTAAAAAGGTTTAAACATATTATCTCAATAAAAATTTTCAATTTTGTCCTTGTACGTATAATCTGTTTTTTAGTTTCATCCCCAGTGTTTTTTTTTTTCCTATTATGACACCCTGTGATTGGCATGGAAATATCATGAAGTTTTAGGACAGACAGAAAATGAGTGTAATGTATATGGACCAAAATATAGCGTTTTTGGTCCATATACATGACACTCATTTTTATTTTGGTTCCACATTTTATTACAACTCCAACAGTGTTATCAAAACAAAACAACAGAGAGAAGGACCAAATTGAAATCAATTTTAAGTATAAGCGCAATTCAAATCTTTTTTATGTAAACTGAATTGAAAGTGAGTGTCACCTAAAGGAACCCAGAATACGTTTCAACCATATAAAAGTAAAAACTTTAGTAGATAACGAGATATAAGAAAATCAAAAGGGCTAATCTCATCTCAAGCAATTCAAATATAACGCAGATTCATGTAAATTCATGTAGTCTTTGTCAACCATTCCCCCAATCCATGTTAGATGATTTCTTCTAAACCAAGAAGATACGTTCCTAAAGATGCACAGAGCATGGCCTCATAGTATTGTTATGATCCAATCCTTAAATCCATGTTAGATGAAAAAAGAAATAGCAAAACTACTTCAATGGCTGAATTGTCCAATCTGTATGAGAAACTAAAAACCAATAAGTAAAAGCCATGTCACTCAAAATTGGTATAGCATTGTAACAAAGACACAGTAGCACGTAGTAAATTGATTGTAGTATCAATTTTATATATGAACTGAGTTTTACAGTTAGAGAAATGGGAGACAAGCTCCTGACACCAAAGTGAATGGTGTAATTCTTGGAAAACAAGAACAGAAACAAAAAATACCCAATAGAGAGACTTTAGAGGGTATCTATTTTGAGGATACCTATTAAATTTCCCATCGAGGTCACAACAATATGTTTCTGAACAGCTAAAATAGGAAGCATAATGTACATTTCTATGAAATATACTTACCTTTTCTCCTTCTCTTTTTGGATTGAGAAGAGGCTTCTGTTCAGATGCAGGAAGAGAAGGTGTGCTGTTCCAAATATTTCTCCATAAGTTCCCATTCTCGGACATTCTCCTTGAAAGCCTCCCTCTTGGAGGCCAATTATCTTTTGACATCTCAGCCTCAAGGTCACCCTCTACCCAATCACCAGGTGAATGCCAGCGAATGAAATCTTCAAAAACAGCATCTGGATTTGCTACTTTAAATGCTGACATGTCTAGTATCATCAAAGCAAATTATTGGTTAGTCTTACGACATATTTTATATATATATATATTGTTACTAGAAAATTTTTCCTACAATACATATTCATAGATTCAGTCAATTTAAAATATAAAAGAGTTTGAGAGAGGAAACAGTATTAAATATTTCATTAAGATCAGAATCCACTTCTGAAACATAACTTCGCACCAAAGAAAAAGTTTTTCTGGAAATCTTTCCACACAAAAAATACATTTTGATTAAAATTTTTATTATGCAGAAGCCTCATAACTTTCATAATATTTGAAAACCAATTTGCAGTTCACCAGTTTATCTTGTAAAATTTCACATACAACAAACTTTTGAAAATAGAATGAATAATGAATCATTTGATCAACACTTATAAATATCTAGTTTTTCTTAAATGTCTGAGCTACAGTTAACACATAATACTTGCGATTCAATAATTAGATTTATGAAAATCTGATTCCATGAAGTTATTTAATGGTGAAAGGTACATCATGGACAGTTTTGGTAGTTTGTTGTGCATTTAGATTTTTTTTCACATATCATACATACAAAGATCTATTTCCATATTTGAAAAAATTTTCCCAAGGAAAAGAAATTTTTGAAATGACTAATAACAAAAATAAATTATGGAATGGGGCTAGCCCGCCCTAGTGATTTAACTCCTAGATGCAAGTGGCTTACAAGACAATAAAAGTCGTTACAACCAATTTAACTCTAGACACTAATGGATATTAATTTAGACGCCCTTATTACAATTACCTGAAGCTAATATATTCCTTTCCAGCTGAGAAGATAAATTCTGCTAATGAATAACAGGTAATAGTCAGTAACAATGTAGCGTATGAAATGGCATATGGCATAGACTTTTTGAATCCTACAGTGTGTTCCCTTCATTCTGAGATTCCAAGCAAAATATGCATGAGTTAACTAAATTCAAATTTCAAAGAAGCTTTGAAGAGTTCAAAGGAGATGGGAATTCAGTCACTTCTCCCAACATTATTTCTATAATCCATACTTCAATGTCATGAATTTGTTTTCTTAAGTCAATATCATCAAGCTGAGGTACTACCTCTACAATCAATATTTAAAAATAACATGCAAGGAAATAAAGGGAACCTGATAAAGAAATAATAGTTTTTAACAAAAATTAAATGATAGTACTTTTAACTGTACACAAGAAATTCTAGAGCTTAATCCCTTTTATTTTACTCTTTTATTACGCTGTTTTGAGATATTTGAATTGTCCAAAGAATTTATTAGTTTTCAGGTCAGATAATGACGTAATTTTCAATACAAGGTAATGAATGTATACTTTCTTCCAAAAGCTAAGAGCTATAACATCAATCATAACAATTAACAATATCAATCATCACTGGGAAGGATGGTTAATTAAGAAACATGCAAGCAGGCATACGAAAAGTCTACAATTGGTGGAAGAAAAAGGATCAAAGGGAATATAACGACACAATTCACTTTTATAGTAATTATTGTTGTCATTATAGCATTATCTATGATGAGGGCAAAGCATTGGCACAATGGTGAGGTAGTAACCTGATGAGTCATTAACTCATCTAGAAAATTAAAGATTTTTTGTATATTTTATTGAATTTAAATTATAAGTTAATGCAATTAATTGAAAAATTTAATGGAATGTTATAATTGCTGGCAAATTGATAGATCATTCATATTTTGATTGCTAGTATTTGAATTTTGAAGGGTTTTGAAAAAAATTAGCAATTGAACTAAAGAGCAGAAGTTGAATGCTGCAGGATACAATTGTGGGGACACGAACTTTTGATTGTGGGACACGATACTGACAGAGTATAAAAAAGTAAAATTATTTGAAAAAGACAGCATCTCTTATTTTTCATTTTTATTACGTTTTTAGGACACAAGAATTTAAGTTTTGGTACAGTTCTTTGTGAGAATGTCAGCTAAGGCATTTCCTTCTTTCTTGATATAGGATTCTTATGGAAACTTAGATTTCATTCTTTTTTCTCTAGTTTTTGTAATGGAACAGTAATTTCTCTCATTTTATCTATTTGCTGTAAGCTCTTTTGTAAACATGAATTTTGTTTCTACAATATATTTCAGTTTCAAATCATTTACTTTCATTATGTCTAGCTAAATATTTTGGAGTTAAGTGAGGATGAACTCATGTCTTTATCCTTTGCAATGAACTAAGCATTGGATATAACTCAAGATACAAGCTTTAATCTAACATCTTGATTCTGAATTTAATGCTTTTTTATTCTACATGAATGGGGATGATGAAAAGAAGTTTATTGCTGAAAAGTAGCAAACTTTCTTGGAACGAGATCAATTTACTCATTATAAATTATCTAAGAATAAAAATTTATGATAATATAATCAATAGATTTAAACCTTAATGCTGAATGTTTTTAGTTTTATCTAAGGAATTAGTACACTAAATTTATTTTAAAACCAATTAACTAAGGAATTGTGATTGAGTATTTTAGTTATCATTAGATGAAGCTGTGTTTTGAATTATAAATATATTTGTATGCAAAAAGAAAGGGATAAGGAATTCCGAACTCAACCTGTTTTTTAATTATTTTTAGACCCACTTCAAGTAATTAAGACATTTACATTCAACAATTATTTTGATTTTTATTCCCATTTTTAGTTTTTTAGTTTCTTCTCATTTATAAAATTCAATTCCAGCACTTTTAATTCTGTTTTTACAATTCTGCACTAGTTAATTTTTGTTCTGTTCATACTTTGTTTTTAGTGACCCAACTAGTGTTATTCTTGTAAGTTGGTACTTAGCATTAATCTTTATGGACGATAATCTAATTTTTTACTTCAACAATTTGGTGCACTTGCCAAAATGTTATCACAACCTTTTGACTAGAACTTTTCAGTTCAAATCTTAGAAATAACCTCTACTTGCAGGAGTAGAGTTGTAAACACCTACCCTCCCTAAACCTAGGTGAGAGCCTTGTGCAGTAGTCTCCCTTTCTCTTTATTTCTTTATCTACTGTGAAATATTAACTTGTGCTTGTGTCAGGCAGACTACTGGTGCCTGTCAAACTATTATCCCCTAGCAACCATGAGGCTAATGCATCATAATGACAGATAATTCTTCTCTCAAACACCAAAATACTTTGTGTTTACAGACTGGTTCAAATTGACAACTTAGCAACTACATTCCCAAACCTATTAACCAGTCAAATTATTACTTTTAACCTCATTTCACTTTTGGATGTATCTTTTTCAGTCATTGCCTCCCTTTTTAAATGTATGATAGGTCAATATGGTCAAAGCTTTTATAGTCAATTATTATTATTAGCATTGAATAACAGTTTAAGCTTACAAATGAGTTGCTAGAGGCTTCTGCCTGAAGGCACTCCTCATGCATGTCTTCTGTCATAAGTGGTGCTTCCTGTGGGATAGCAAACAAGATCGAAAATAACATATTAAAAATTTGTGAAGCATCACAACATAATGACAGAGTCAATGGTGCATGGATGTTACAGAAACCTGGGTGTATGGGGCATGCATGCTTTGATTTGACTTTAGAAGCGTCATGCGATCAACAAAACCAGCTGAACCTCTCCTAGAACTGTCTGAAAGTTTTTTATCATTAAAAAGGTCAGCATCTTCAGGCTTTCCACTAACTGCAGGTACTGTTCGAACAAAATAATGTATATCACCAGCGGTTGGAAAGCTGCAGCAAGAACAAAAATGTTATACACCATATGCCCTAGAAAATACTTTAATTATTTGCAAGAATACATAAGTAAAAATTTTAACTTTATTAGTCTGAAAACATTTAACATGCATAAGTTACATCGATATGGCCAAGGATAGTAGAACTAGTATACGTATTCTCCTACACAAACATTAGAAAAGAAAAAAGGTAAACTCACCATCAGCAGTGTAAAACTCTCCAATTTCTTCATATACTAGCTCATAAGGTAACATGTACTAAATGTACCATCATTACATGGAATAGTCCTGAATTGATCTTTGACAAAATGAAAAACTTAAAATCTATGAAAATTAAAAATATGCCCGAAAGCATCTTAAGATGGACAAAAATCCTAACAATCAATGTAGCTACATTTTAGCAGCTATCACCCAAGATTTGGATATAAGTAACCAAGCAGGTTCTCACTTGCTAAGTTCACCTGTCAGTTTTCCCAGAAATATCCCCACCATGTATCTGCATATTGAATAAGCCATCCCCAATTACACTATCCTCCTGCAATTACAATCAATGTCTACTTATGTTCATACTGCAAAATAATTTTTTAAAAATAAGTTACTACAGTAACACTATTCAATCTGACAGCTACAAACAAGAGGAAAGCAAAGTTTGTGACCTCAGTCATAGAGTCGATTTGATCTTCACTTCCAATACAATCTTGATAATCTTCATTCATTTCACACTTCTTCTCAATGCATACTGCAAGCTGAATAGCAAAGCAGAAAATAGAATCCCTATTATAGACCTATCACCATGTCTTCTATATTATATAAACACCAAAACATTTAAGCTCACTTAACATTTCTATTTTTAAATCAGGGGGCAAAATAGGACTTCAATTTGGCCACATCCCCAGGATGGAAGTATGAAGCAGGGAAGTTAAGCATCAAAACTAGCTTTTGTTAAATTTCATCTTAAAACCAATTGGCATTAATAGAAGTTCCTCAATAATAACAAGTATATAAACCAAACCCAGTAATTGAGATAGGCAACGTGCGACTTTCAACACACACACACACACTCTATAGATGCCTGTTGAACCAAGCAATACACACCAAAAACTATGTAAATAGTCGAGACCCCTTCCACAAACCACAGAAGCAACGGAAATAAGCTATAGGATCTAACACCATGATAGATTCATCTTAATAATGAATGGCAATAAGTGAAGTTGTTCAATAGGTATATAAACCACACCCCAATATCTCAGGTAGGTGATGTGAAACTTCCCAACATCTTTAAGCTTTAAATAAAAACTTTGCAATGACTAAATTTTTCTCTACTATATACGTCATAATTAATTATGACAAAGGAACAGCTAACAAGTTGATTAAAAAAAAAGGGAAGTCCACATTCACAATGTGACAAAATATATAATCTTTCATGATAAAGAAAATGCACTACAAATAAAGAAAACAAGTCAATAACTAACAATTAACATTTAAAGTTTCATGTTAAAAATATATAACACGGATATGTAGAATATAATTCATAAAAGATCCTTTAAACATTATTAAACAAAAATTACCATCTGAAGTTTCTGGTTGATCAAACAAGTGGAAAGATCAATTGAACCATTTGTTGGTATCCGAGGGATTAGCTGTGACTCTTCCCAATACCACCTAACCTCTCGAACAAACTCTATCCATAGGTAAGCAATAGCTGACATACAAACCAAAATGAAATCATGCAAATGAAAATATACCATACATGCAAGATGTCTCTAATGGACACCAACTGGTGTGAGAATAAAGACTAAATTGTATTAAATTGAACTGATACAGAATTACAATTTAAATAGGAAATTGAGCAAAACGGATTGAGTAAAAAGGCTTCCTCCCAAGATGTTCGAGAGCCTGGTCTCTCCCTTCCCGAAACCACTCAAAAACTGCCTGCCTTCCTTCTACCTCTTCTCCTATTTTTATTCTGCTTGTAACTTCCTGATTGCCCCCACTAATATCGCTCAGTGCCTAATTAAAATAACAACTGCTAAAATAATAAATAACTGCTAAGACAATTCAATCCTATTTAAAAACCTAAGTCTTGGCTCTCTTCTTATAATATTTACTTATAAGGGGCCTAACAGTCTCAAAAAATCTATTTCATCTAGGGGATCAACATAGCTAATCAGCAAGGTTATGCAGCAATAACCCCCCCCCCCCCAAAATCAGTACATACCTTGTATGTTGCAGTCACCAAACCAAAGAGAATGTAAACAAAATTGTGCAAAAAGAGATTCAAGAGGTGCGCCTTTAATAGCTTGAGAAGTCTTATATCCACCATAAGCAAAATCTGTGAGCTGTACTCCTGTAGAAATTATTTAAACAATTGTAACAAAATAATGTAATGAAATCTACTTTGAATTTTAACATGCAAATATCCCTGCATGACTTGTTAGGCATCCCAAGGATAGTTGGAATATGCAGTGATTAGCAACAAATTCAAATACAGACAATAAGTTTTATGTGGTAAAAAAAAGAAAACTAGTAAAGAGAGGAAAGGCCTAATAAAGTGTTCAACAAAAAAGAAATTGAAGTTTAATTATGATTTGAAAGTGAGACAAGGCAAGGATTCTTTTCAAGAACTTGAAATATAACTCATGATTGTTTTGCATTACTTGATAATGTATTTATATAATACTTTAGTATATGTCTATGTGGCAATAACTTGGACAGAGCAAACCAAATAGAAAACTATCTAAACCCTATGTATACTAACTGTAATCCTAACTAACTAGGGAAACAAATCACGACAGGATAAGGAAATGTGGTAACCAATTGTAAGTATAATCTATGATATGATATTTTCATATTATTTTAACAAAACGTATGTCCTATGCAACAGAAAAGTTAGTAAAGTGGCATTGAAACAAGAACAGCCAATAAAGTTACTAAAGTACCCATTCATACATGAATTTTTGGTAAACCTTCCCTAAATTATTCAACACATCTTTTTATTTCCAAGAAAGCACTCTTACCTTATTAATGATAACACTAGACAAGTCAACTGCAATAAACTCTAGTAAATAAGATTTTAGTAAATATTCAGCCCCCTATTGTTCAAGTCAAATAAGACAATCAGCCTTAATAACTATAGTAATCAGAGAAAACTACACTTTGTCGACTCTCCAAGTATAACTTGTGCTTGAATCTGATTAAAAAAAAAAAATCAAATGGATGCCAGTTCTACTCTGCTCTGAAGGTAATGGTACTTTGCCCTGTTGGCAGATTTGTTTACCATCAATTGGATACAGATGCAAATTTTATAAACTACCAACAATGCAAGGTAGCAGTGTCAAGGGTGTGCTGAGGGTTGGAGGGCATTCACATAAAACGGAAGACAAAATATAGAGGAAGGGAGCAGAGCATAAGTGCCTTCTTGAAACAGTTCTTTCAGCACTCGGTCTCTAACATTTGATGGAGGCATAACAATTGAAGATTTCAAATTCTCAGAACTTGAGTTTTCATCTGCTGCAAACCAGAAGAAGGAAAATGTTGAACCATTAAACCAAATTTTAATAGCATTATTGAAGTCTTTAGGAATAGTCAAATATACCATTAAATCACCAAAACCATTCAAACCTGAAACAAAATCTTCCATAAATTGGGCTTCAAGTGACATTTTCAATGCATCAACTACAAGATGCAACCGGGATGCAAATCCAACTTGATTCCCTTTGAAACTTTCAAATCTATATGAATGAACAAAATATAACAATTAATAAAAAATTAACATTCAAAACCTATTTAGATCCCATCTGTTTCGGCTTTTCTTTCGTGAATTGTGAAAAATCACTTTTATTTTGAAAAAAGGAAATACCTCAAAAAAATGGTGTTTAAACAGAATCTGAAAATAAATTTGGGGTTGTTTGATTTCATAAAGTTATTTTTATTTTCATTTCTTACTTTCACTCTTAATTACAAAACTGTCACTTTATTTTCATTTTGTTTCTTATTTTTAAAAATTGGTATAGGAAAAACCAACATTCACTTTTTTTCTGTTTTCACTATTTGCTATACAAATTTTTAAAAAAAGGAAACAAAATAAAAACAAGGTGTTTTTTTGTAATTAAAAATGAAAACAGAAAATGTTTTCTGAAACTAAATAGTACCTTACATTTCTAATTATTTTGAGAAGCTTCTAAAAAAACAAAAGTAATAATTAACTAATTATAGCTACCTTTTAAATAAAAAATGCTTTTAAAATTGTAACCAAACAAAAAATTGCTTTTATTATATAGATCTCTAAAAAAATCACTTATGATTTATTTATACATTCTTAAACCATTTTTTTAAAGCTCAAAAAATGGGCCCTTAAAAGCACAAAAATCTGAACAATTTTCAATCATGAATTTTATTACTAATTGCATGAAAAATTAATAAATTATATCTATGCATTGCCACTACCATAAAATTCTGGATGTTTTGCTAAATACAATTCTGCAAGGAATGATAGGAAATGCTCTTATAAAAGAAAAACAAGATCCAAGGATGGAGACTACTGAGTTGTATTTATAAATCTAATCTAATAAAAAAAACATTCATAGAACTATAACCAACCTATCCTTTACAATTTTTATAAGTGGGTGAAGATTCTGTTTGATATGGAGGAAAATGAAAATTATGAGTAGTTGTATATGTAATTTAAACCAAGTTTGAAGTTGGTCAATGAAATGAAGGTGAGGCACAAACAGAATAGAGTGTATACTTGCAATTCCCCTGATATTTTTAGAACTGGATCAAATTAGGTGAACTAGGATGGAAAGAATGAGCATTCTACTGATTGTGCTCCCTGCCACAATCTGGGAGATTATAGGTCTGAGACAGAAGATAGAATAACTATACAGAATGAGAAAAATTCATTCCAAGAAATTTGAAAGTCTTGACTCTCCAATTTCTCTCTACAATTCTCAACAACTTAATTATCTCCTCTCTCTTTCTCCTATTTTATTAAAACCTCTCAACTAACAGACAGAATCCAGTCTTTCAACTGTCAACATAATTAATTATCTCCTCTTACTCCCTCTGCTCCCTTTTATTCTTATGTACACCTTCTTAATTTAGGTTTTCTATCATATTATTATTTAGTATATACTTAGCAAGGCAGCAATTTTAGTATCATAAGCAGCTAATAGAACCGATTCAGATTCTAAAGAAACAAATGAACTTTTTGTTGATAAACCCAAAATCCTAATTGCTGTACCAATGTGGTAGCAGTTTTACTTTTAGCTAGGGTAGAAGATACAAAATGAGTTGTTTTCTTCGATATTCACGAGACCAGCACTCTCCCCACTCTTTAAAAGTCCAATCCTTTTTTCACGACATAATATCATCTCCCTTCTTATCTATGGGCAACATGCCCTGCTCAAACTATTTCAGCCCAGTAACCTAACTAGTTAACTCAAATATAATTAACTAACTAATGGGTCTATCTAACAGTAGCAACCATAGTGACCACTCATCATGATAATTTTGGTTATCCATATTCCAATAAAAAAATTCTTACAGATTTGGAGCACAACTCGGAGAGATCAACCACTTCTCAGCTTCATAAGGTGAAGCATTTTCTAGTTCAGCCATTTCCATAGAATTTTCAACAATCTTCTCTGACCATATTGCAATCAGTTCAAAACCTACATGCAGCCTATCAATAGATTATACAAAAGTGACATTTGCATTTTGCAATAGAGAACATCATGGAAAAAATGAAGCTTGGAGAGTTTTTACAATTAAAATACCAAAATCAAATTTCAACGTGCAAATTTCAAAGAGACAAATTTAAACAAAAGATATTGGAGTGAGAGATAGACATGCAGAGAGAAAAAAGTAGATATAAATAAGTGCTTTAAATTGATACAGGTACAATGGAAATGGCAAGAAGAATCACAAGAAACTTATATCAGTGGTGATATTTTCATGTAACCTATGCAAAAGTACATTTTCAGGAAGGCTATTCTACTAGAAATAGCTAAAAGCACTTAATGTATTTGAAATTCTTTTATCATGCATGCAAATAACCATCCACCCAAAATTTGCTATAGCTGTCATTTACAAATTATAACCTCTTGAATTTGAACTTGACCTAACTAAAATCCAAAATTTAGCTCATAAGGTGAGAATTACATAAACCTTTATAAACTCTATTTTAGTCATATTTATAGTCAATATGAACCTGTATAAACTCTACGTTAGCTATATTAATAATTGATATTGAATCTAAACGCACACCTCTCATGCCAAAGGTTGGACATTAAGAGCGTAGAGATTATAAGCTAATTTAAAAAAAATGCATTGAAAAAGCCATGAGACCAGCTAGACAATACTAGGAAAGATGAGGGACCATGACCAAGTAGGTTGCACAAGAAAATCTATGGGTTATTACAATGAAAAAATTCACAATGTCAATTTTCTTTTTAACAATAGAAAGTGACCCAATATCAAATCTAAAGATAGACTCAATACCATTTGGAATTTAAGCTTATATCAAACTTAATCTCAAAAGCTATTTTGTAAAATGAGAATTGTCTAAGCTTTAGTCATATCTGTAGTCAATGCGAGATCTCAACATAACCTACCACACTTGAGCTACTACAACTACCAGTGTATCCATCTATCTTGTCTCCAACAAAAACATCCATGCAATCACCTAAAACTATTTCTACAAAACAAGTTCTTAATTCCTCAGATTTACCTTTAACAGGATCTTTTGCGGAATACCATTCACTCCAAGGACAATCATTATCCCACCATGTCTCATTGGAGGTTTCATCGGTAAGGTTTTCTCCAGATTTTGAATTTTGAGCATCAATGCCTTTGATATTGTCGTCATCATAAGGAAGTGTTCTGTATGTTAGCTTCATTGCAAGTTGGACTTCAAAAAAATGATTAGGAAGATCCAATGCAGAGTAGGCCTTCAGTATCAAATGGAAATTAATTACTTAAGGGGAAAGATTAGGGAGATTGTTCATTAGAAGTCAGTTCAGCATAGAACTTCTGACTTTAACATACATTACAGGGAGACAGTGGTTGAGTGTTCAAAGAGTCCATTCAACATATTGGGCAAAATAAGCCAGAAAATAGATGGGAAAGAGGGAATGTATCAAACAAATAACTTCCTTACAAACCTTACAACAGATTGCCAACTCTTTTGTGCAAATATTGATGTCAAATAAAACATTAACTTGTAAAAAGTTGTAGCATTACCACCTATACATGTCAACTCTTGGATAATAAATATTTTTTTCACTTATTTATAAATCTCATATTTTATCTCAAGATACCCACCCCCTTGCATAAGCCACCTTTGGGAAAGGGAGTTCGATTAACTGGTAACCCACTTGTTTCAGAATGGTAGTTACAGCAGCATCAATTTCAGCGTGTGAATTATAGAAGAACAATGTCACAGAGGGTATATCTGATTAAAAATTTATTGCATCATCATAAAATTAAGCAAAAATTAAATAAATATTTAATTAAAAAACTTGGGCCAGGAACTCACAAACTTAGATACAAACAATTCATACAGGCCCTCCAAATGCATGAGTTTTATTGGAACCTGGCTACCAATCCGATCTGCTTCAAACCTTCTAGTAAATACAGTACCCATGTTCTGGATTCCAATAAATGCTTTCCGTGAAGGATCATGAATTGGAACAAATGCTGGCCATAAACTACATAATTAACATTATTAGAAACTGCATTTGTGCTTTCACTACCCAGTTTTTAATAAACTAGACATTTCAATGACTTTTATTTTAAACATTAGGAAACCATTACAGATTTTATCCACTAAAATAGTAACTTCTTCAATCAAAATAAAAGACATATTAAAAAACCCAAATATTATAACAAGTAGCATTTAATAATCAATTGGAATCAGACATAAAACGCAATATAAATGTGCCCCAGCACTTAAGTTATTGTAAATTTTCTGAATACACTAAACATTAAAGAACAAGGAACAATACTTACCTTGAACAATTTGACAAAGCAATTGCAACAGCACTCAGCAGCTTGCTTGCCTCTGGTGCATCAAGAACCACACTGCTCATACTTTGTGGAGCAATCACCTAGTGACATGCAAGACAAGAAGTGTCTGTTTCCTCAGTGAAAGCATTAAATTTCCAATAAAAGGTTAGATAAAAAGTTAAAACATACCAAAAATTCCTTTACACCAAAACATAACTGCAGATCATGAAATGCAAAATTCCACTCTGCAGGTTTGCCTGTGTCACCAAAGGCCAAGATAGATTAAACAGTAAGTTCATGTGCCCCAACCACAATCTACTAAACATTTAGGGCATCCCAGTGCACAAGGTCCCACCTAGTGGGGTCTGTGGAGGGTAGATCAGATGATGTGCGCAGCCTTACTCCTGCAAGCGGAGAGGCTCTTTCCATGATTTAAAACCATAACCTCTAGGATAAAAGCAGCAACCTCACTTTTAACCTTTGTACTAAGGGTCACCCTCTATTCAACTCATTAAACATTTACAACCAAAAAAATTCCAAATTACCATTATTGTTGGTCTCAAAATAGTACTCCATGCAGTAACTTTTCATGGCATACTTCATTTCAGATTGCACCTTGTATGAACTTTTGGAATACCCCAAGAGAACTGCCCCCTTTTTCTAGAACCAAAGAAAAGAATTATATTCAGGTAAAAGGAAAAAATTTTAAAATGTAAATTTGAAGATAACATCTCACTCTTTACACTAACACTGTACATTAATAGCAAACGTATTTGAAGAAAGAACTTTTTTATCTGCACATCAATATTGTCACACCATGCTGAAACTTTTCTTTATCCAGAAAGTAACGATAGAGAGAATATGTTTATCATCCAAAAAGGAAATGGAGAAAGAATAGTGCAGCAAAAAGGGGACATAAAAAACATTATTTGTTGCATAAATCATACATAAAAACTTGAAGTTTAGGAGCAGCACAACACTGAATTTAATAAAAGTAACTAAAGCATGTACAATTGTAAAGTAAAATTTGACACCAGCAGCATTTGTCCCACATCCACTCACGTTCCATGAAAAGGATCTAGTGTAAAAGAATACAGGAACCTAAGTACTATAAAATAATTCCCTTGCCTTCAACTGTTAATTACAAACACATCACCGAAGCAGATAATGCACCGAATATTTAAACAAGAAATCATCTTGCGCTAAAAGTGTAGATAATTCATAAGTTATCTAAATCCAGTGTTAGATTAGAGTACAAAAACATGACCTGACTAAGCGCTTTCTGTAATAATATAAAATTCAAAGGGTTCCCAAAGTACAAAATTTACACATCAATAAGCATAAAGCAACTCTTCTATCTAAGAATAAAGACTGAGCATAGGATACTTTTGCTTCCCATTTATAAAGATGAACCATGAAAATTTCAGTTAAGAGCCAGCGACAACCATCTTCAATTGCTGCCATATCTAACTAAAGCTAGTGAATATAATTGAAAGAGGCTGAAAACCCATTTCGAGAACTAAACCAATAATAGCAGAGAACTGAATAAAAGTAAATAATATTCATACTAAGAGCTAGTAAACTCCATTTACCATAAGTGAGTTCCTCACTAACAAAATCAACCAAAATAATAATAATAATAATGGTTAAATTTAAGTGTTGAAACTAAGGAAGCTTACCAATAAATTCTTTGGGCCTTCAGCCATCCAAATCCGACAAACTGCCTCGATTTCAGAAATAAACCTACTTAGGAAAAAATACATTAATATAACGGTAACATCATAACACGGTTCCACTCACAATTTACACGATATGCATAAGGAATTTAAATAAGGAGAACCCGAACCTTTCCCATGAAGAAGCAATAGTGAAATCATCAAAATGCTGAAGCTGCACCAACATTGAAGGAGAGCGAGTAAATTGGCATTGACTCAATTCTATAATCGCACTAAAACAAACTCAAGAGAAATAATCAATTAAGCAGTGAAAGAGATAGGAGAAGTGTAGCACTTCTTCTTCTTCTTCTTCTTCTGTGACATCGTCGTGGGTATCAGGTTCAAACTTGCAGGAGGTGGAGGACGCCATCAAAGATACGAGAAGGATCACGGAATGCGTATCATAAACACCATATCAGCAAGACGAAAGAATGTCAATAACTAAGGGAAAATTCCATCTTCCAAATGCCTTGTTCTGCTTTTGCTACTCCTTGCTCTCAGCACTGTAACCGAGTTAAACTAATGCCCAATTATTCCAACTCGTTTATCAATAGATAAATAAATTTAAATTTACGGTCTACTGTTCGAATGAATTAAGTTTATATTTTAAATCTTTCTAAAAAATTTTATTAAAATTTAATATCTATAAAATTAAGAAGTTAAAATTTAATATCTTTCCTCAACTCTCTTAGTATTGAATAACTTTTTTCAACTAACTTAACGTTTACATACACAGCATATTATATTATTTACTTTTTTATTTAAAATTATTTATAAATAAGCTCAAAAATACCTTCTATATCATTATAAATAATTTATTTTCTTTCTCCTTTCTTTTTTATTATTTTGCCTTTTTTCTATAAGACATTTTTTAATTTCTTGTGAATTTCTCTTTTAATTTCGTAATACACAATTATAATTTACAAATTATACAATTAAATTTTTTTTCTTTTTTGTTATTTTTTAAATTTTATAATTTCTTTATTTAGTAATTTTTTTGTTAGATTGTACAGTTAAGTTTGTAGATGATGAGGGTTGAAGGGTGTTTTTGAAGGAAAAATCATATTTTAATTAAAAGTTTTTGTTAGAGATTGAGAAAATAACAATAATGAATGAATGTAGTTGAAGAAAAACCTAATAAAAAGATTCATGTGCTAGCTAAGATTGATTGGCACATGCTTAATAAATCAAAGTTTTATTTCTTAGTGTTGCATTTTTCTTGTGGAGTTTCTACAACCCTTTCCATAATTAAGTAAAATGCTCAAGATTTTGGAGAAAGTGAAAGATTTAAGGACCAAATTGAAGTGATTGAGATTGAAGAATGAGTAGATCAAACTTCTAGAGGGGATGAAGTTAGGGTTCAATACCCTAGGGAACAAACTAACGTTTCTTGTGACATCCAGGCTTCTAGGCGAAGGCGAAGAGTGCTTGTTTGTGCAAATATGTGGCATGGACAATGAGCGGCTCTTGGCAAGTTTCCAGCGATAAGGAACACATGAACGAATCAAACTTACACCAGAATGAGAGGAATCCAGAGACTGTGTATACAGTTAAGAATAGCTTAAAAGAATTGATTAGGACTATCTATACCAACAAAATGCATTTACTTTTCAATGACCTATCACTTAAGAACTCCAAAGTTAAGTGTGCTTAACTTGAAGAAATTATGGGATGGGTGTGAGTGAGGACAAAGTACAATGAAATGTGTTAGTTATGAGAACAATCATCAATGCTTAATAAGTTGTCAGGTTGTTACATTCCTTTCAATCATCGTTGCAAACGAGATTAGAGTTTTGCTGTGAAATTAATTGTGAAAATTGAGAAGAAACTAAACCACTTTCTTTTGTATTTGGCCAACAAAATTTTTTATTACTTTTGTGTTTAGGGAGTTTCAAGAATCATGGGTTGTAGCAGTTAAAAACTTGAACGCTTCGCAAGATGGCTTAATGTCATGAATGTTACAAATTTTGTCAACGAAACACTTTGTCAAAATTATGCAAAATAAGCCACACAGAACATTTTTGCATTGCCATGACATTGTGCTTCCATTTCCATTCTTTAGACATTTGTTTGAAACAAACTACATTCATATTTTGAGTTGTTTCATTGGTTTTAAATTTTCTTTAAGACAAGATATACTTAAGTGTTTCTAAAGGGTTGGAGAAAGGTGGAAGTTGAGTGGCGAAGAGTAGGAAGGAGAGAGAAGAAGAAAAAAAGTTAATGGAGGAATTTGTTTATAAATCAAAAAATATACTTAAGATTTATTTGCACATATTTAATTTTAAATAATAAAATATTAAAATAAATAAATTAGGTGACATGTTATGTGAGAGAGTATTAAATTAACTTTTTATTTTTTTTAACTTTTCAGAAACTAAATTTTAACAAAAAATTTATCATAAAATACTTAATATTTATAAAAATAAAAAATTTAATTAAGCTTTTTTAATATTAAAAATTTATAAATAACTTATAATTATATTTGTCTGAAAAATACAAATATTAGAAACATTTTTTTAACATGTTTTTTTAAGACATTTTTCACTATTAGCTAAACGTTATTTTTCATTTATAATTTAATGATTTTATGTCATATTTTTATATTTTTAATTAATTATTTTAATTAATAATATGTTTAAAAAATGTGTATTAAATAATGTATTTCTAAACCTTGAATTGATAAATTTTGGTTAAATATTTCCTTAATAATTTTTTTAAAATATTAAATTTTATTAACTCAAATATTGAGTTATCTAATATTATCTTTATAATTATTTATAGGTATGTAATTTTATAGCTGTAAAAATATATTATACATCAAAATAAAATTTAACAAAATATCAAACTATATTTAAATTTATAAATTCTTGTAAATTTTATTTATTTATTGAGATTTTTTAAAATGACAATTAAATTGATTAAATTCAATGTTTATAAAAGTTATTAAGTAAAGTAGGTTAACCTTAACTTATTTCATCTACGTGTGTGTTATAAGATTTTCTTTATAGTTATTAATATCAAATTAAGCAGTCATACGTATAGGCATAAAAAAATATTACGTATTAAAATAAAATTTTATAAAATACCAGACTATTTTTAAAATTTATAAAATATAACCGACTTTTTAAAAAAATTTAAAACAATAGTTAAATTAATTAAATTCAATATTTACAAAAAATCATTAACTAAAGTAACCTAAACCAAGACTTATTCCATAAATATATAAATAAAAGGGATACATTTACTTCGAAGATAAATTCAGATAGCTTACTTCGTTGAATAACTTATTATTAATTTAACAAATATAATTGTTTAATTGTGTAATATTTTTTAATAATCATGAACATAAAATTTTATTTTTAATATCAATAATCATGTTATCTTACAATAAACATTTACTTATTGTTTAAATAATATAATATATGTTAAATAAAATTGATTAACGAAGTATTAACTCATTCTAAAATTGTTTAAATTTCATAGGCTCCATCTTTTCAGCGATTTAATTTAATTGTTAGATTAACAAAATTTAATATCTATAAGTTATTAAATTAAAAAAGTTTACCAAGCCCACCACTTTAAGATACGAACAGTGGAAGCATAAAACAATTGAATTGGATATTGATAGTTCTAAAATATTTACATAACGCTGGACAAATTATATAATATGACAATGCAAAAACATGAGTTCTCAGACGTATAAATATTTTGCTTTCCAATAAAATTAAACAAAATACAAAAATATTTTGCTGAGGTTTTAACAGCAACATAAGATGTGTGAAAATAAAGCCAAACACAGGACAAACAGGAACTTCCTTCAGAAAAACTATCTAAGCGTTTCATCCAACACTTATACCATACATCAACACCAGCGGAATTTTTGGAGTGACCTTAAGTTAGGGAGCCAACAAGAAGAACTCTAATTCCTGCACAGTGCATACCCATAATATGATCAGTAATTTGCATGCATGATGTCCCATGCAACATACAACGTTGTGGAATGAAAATCATTAACTAATTCCGTTGGAAAAAAGCACCGGTCCGTCGTTATCAAGTTCATAATGAAAGACAGTACCAACCCTGAATATGGTAGCAATTTCGTATGTAAAAACATATAATCCTTTGTGCCATGTAGAAGCATGGGATAAGAAAAGTTTGTCAGAAGACAGTGCATACTCATTGCAGCACATAATCCATGTTTCTCCAAAAACAAAACACAAACCCCCCAGCCAGATCTGTTTGATGAAATAACAGATAAGTTTGAACTAACCTTCTTTTGCCGTTTGGAACAATCAATCCTCTCTTCTCTAGGCTTTTATATCGATCTTTTATAAGTGTGCAGCAACCCTAAATATGAACCAACATGGTAGGAAAATTTACTCCCATGTTTACTAAAACTAAGACACCAAAATAATCAAAATTGTAGCAAGAGGAAACAAGTCTACCTTAAGTTTCCGAATGGATCCAGTTATCTCTTCACTTAATAAAACTTGAACAGGACCAGGCTCAAACCTGTTGTCATGAGAAAGGAATAGCAATTATAACTGGGATTTTATTTGAAGGGACAACAAGTAACAAAAGCCCCACAAAAACTTAACTGGTAAATTTTTATTGTACAAATAAAACAATAATGATTTCCTGTCCTAATACATTAAACAACACTTGTAAATTAAGATACAAAAAAGAGACTGCTTACTTGTACTTCCCTAAGCGTGGTGGGCGTGTCTTCAACATCTCTTGTTTAGCCACCTGTCGCCTAAGATGTCTTCTCTTCTTTTCCTCATCTTCTTGCTCAATTTCCTCAATGATTTCTGGTATGCTGTAAGCAGAAGAACAAAAGATGCTCAACTATCATCTTTTATTGTGATGCGACTGAGTGTGAGAGGGGGGTCATATTACCTATCAATTTCCTTCGACAATTCCACTATCTTCTTAGTTTCTTCTTCTTTTTTCAGTTGTTCTTTCCACCTAGCTCTCTTATTCAATTCAACTCTTGTTACTCTCTTTGTTTTAATAGGCCTGTCCGATGATTATTCAAACAATAAAAGTACATCAGATGATTCGAAATTAATGATTTAGTAAATAAAATGATGCACACTTATATTATGTGCAAATATACAGTATAGATATAATGCAGTGTTCATAAGGATGTTATGAAAGAAATCAAATCACATTTACATAATTTATTTTATTCCAAAAATGGTAATGTGTTCTCTATAAGTAAAAAATAGTTTAGGCATATAAGAATTTAATTAACTTTAGCAAGCGAAAAAATGGAACATAAAATAATGAGCAGAAGTAGAAGAGAAAGAGAAAAAATGGAACATAATGTTATTTGACTTGATGAGTAATGTATACAGACAAAAAAGTATAATACAGGGAAATTATCATAAAGTTAATAAACAGTATTTAAACAAATTTAACTTATGATAGCTCACCTTTTCTCTGATGCAGCTTCTTCATTTTCACCCTCATTTTCAAGAAGACTTTCATCGTCATCACTCCCACCGTCCACATCAAGAAAATACATCTGACAAAAAAGCAGGTTATTGAAAAAGCAGGACCAACAACAAAAGCCATACAAATTCAAGTGCCTAAAGCTTAATAAATGAGACAGAGAATTTTCCCTACAATAATTATATAAACAAAGAGAATGAGACTCACATCTTCTTCAGCAATAGCCTCACCAGGAACAGTTAATGGCACTGGTTCAGGGCCCAATTCATTTTTGTAGATTTTTTGCATTTCCTCTGCAACAGCAGAAGCTAACATGTCCTGGTTTAACAGTTAAATTTTTTAAAACTCTTCATCAAGAAGCATGCCAAAAAGAAAAATCACAAATAACAGGGGAAAGGATCATTTATTAAGAAACTACCTGGTGACTTTCATGTGAGGGGTTGAAAGAGCAGCCTGGAGGATCAACCTCTACTGCTGGAATAAGAGCAGGCTTTGATACCTGTTAACCATATAGCCATCATATTATCAACTAAAACACTAAAAGGGAAGCAAAAATAAAATGAAATATGAAATCCACAAATTAGAATTGATAATGTTCTAAAGTATACCTTCTTCAACTTGTTGGTATCCCCATCTGCATGATGATACCAAAGAACCGTGTTTAACATCTCATAATTAACACAAAAAATAAAGCAAAACTTAAATCAACAACATACAAGGTACCTTTATCACTCCATAGATCAAACATGGCAGAATCAGCCTAACAAAGATCATTAGAGACAATAAACGTTAATAAAACAAATTTTAAATAATGTTTAGAATAAAAGGACTCCAAACCAAATATAATTTCAGCTGAGAATTTACTCAAACATGGGCAACCCCTACTACTACTTCATCCTTTCTGCATCAATGCACAACTTACTGACCTTATCATCATCCTGGTTGACCTCTTTGATCTTAGAGACCACATTGCGAATTTTAGAGCACTTCTTCAGAATAGAAGATGGCACTGGCTTAACAAACTGGTTTTTCAGTAGTATACTATCACAACGAAGCACTTTCTCCCTGTGCTTCTCGATCTTCTTCTTCACCGCAATATCTAGCAATTCAATCACATCATCAAATTAGGAAAATCACCCATTCTAGTGTAAAGCAATCAGGCAACACAGTTTTTTACATACCGAACAACCAAGCAAGAACATTAGCTATTATATAAATTATAATTGGTTTTTCCACATAAATTAAAAAATATATATATCATATACTAATACAAGCTTGTGTAAATCATAGCAACACATAAATAATTATAATCGACCATTTCCACTTTTTCTCGTTATGCATAATTTACACGTCACTACTCAGTTAAAAAATAATTATCAATAACTTAATTTTGAGATACAAGGCAATAATAATACATTATCAAAGAGATACCTTTGGACTTGTCTTCAAAAAAGAGGGAATCGCTGGGAAGGGTTTGGAGAGAGCCACCAGAAAGAGCGTCCTTCGTTGATTTCTCGAAGAAATCTTCGATGTCTTGGGTGCTGATGTTAGCCCTCCATGCCTTCTTACCCTTTCTTGACCCTTTTGATTTCTTCCCCATTCTCCCACTTGCAGCAATGTCTATGCTTATGCTTCAGTTCAAGTGTTTCAGAGACAAGGGTTTTCACTTTTCTGAAGCAACAACCCCTGCTGGCGGCATGACACAAGGAGGTTTTATTTGTTATTCAGAGGCAAAACCATCTAGCGGTGCTCTACTACGTGGGCCTTAAAATAAGCCCGGACCAAAATGATGGGCTCTTCTAATTTGATGTTTCCGGCCCTTGACCAAAAATGAAATAAGGAAAGAAGTTAGGTCTATAATGACAAAAACAATACAAAAAAAGTTGGGTCTATTAATGAACCAAAAACAAAAAGAACTCAGGTCTATTTAACGAAGTCAACGTGAGAATATGATAAAAATATAATATTATTATTTTTATATATGAAGTAAATCAATATATATATATATATATATAATTATGTTATTTTATTTAACATTTGAGATAAACAAACAATAATAAAATACAATATAAAATTATTAGAAAATATAATTTTTTACTTCAGTTTAATAATTTTACTAGAAATATATATAAATATTAAAAATATTTTTTACATTTAAATATTGTTTTAAATAAATTATAATTAAATAATTAAAATATCAAAAATTATAATCATTTGAAAAATATTGAAATATACTTTATAAAAAATTATAAATAATTAATTTGTTATAATATATTAAAAAGGATAGGAGGTATGAATAATAAAAAATTATTAAAGTTTAACGATTTTTTAGGCATCGCTTACTTTAAGACGACAATTTGAACTATTTAAATAAAATATATTATATTAAATAATTTATTAAAATAAATATTAAAAAATTATAAAAATTATAAATTATATTATTGTTATTATTATCAATCTCATATTTGTTGTCTATTAATATATATAGATAAAATTACTTTGTTATAAAATTATTTACATTTATTGTCAATTATGATTATAATTATAATTATTAAATGTATGTATATACTTAAATCATGAAATTTAATAAATATTTCAACTGATTTTTTATTCAATTTACTATTTTAGGTAAGTCACCGTTTCAATTTTTTTAAAAATTTCTCTTCAAATAAATACTAATAAAATACTTATTATTGCTTTATTTTTCATTTTAAACACCTAACTAAGAGTAACGAACTAAAGACTAAAGATGACAATAGGTGTGAATTCAATACTGATAATAAAAAAATCTTGCAAAAAGATATCTATTGAACTTTTTAGGTTAAATTATAAATATATTTTATTCAAGATAATTTTATTATAATTAAGAGTAATTATTATGTGTATCTATTAGAAACTCAAATTAATATCACATTTTAAAATAAAATAATTATTTACCGATTGATTCACATATTTAATAATTATCAATTTATCAAATTTAAGTATGGATATAGAAAATTATATGAATAAGTATGTTATATTATCTATATTAATCCATTTGCACTGTCTTTATATATGACAATAAAATAAATTAACATTATAATTTAGTTAGTAAAATAAAACTTAGTTGTTATTTTTTATATTTATTACATACTTGCATATAACGTAAGACTGATTTTTTATTTGAAAAATAATTATTATAATAAGTAAATTACTGTAATTATATAACTAATTAAAGATCACAAGTCATTCTTTCTTATCCATCTACATTCTCTAACATTTTATTTGGATGAGATGAAATTAAAGGGTAAAGAAAGAAGTGACAAGAAAATTATATATATATATATAGTTTAGATGGTAGTAAAAAAGAAAAAGAGGAAATTGATTTCATATGCAACACATGAAGGGCATGATTCATCTTTCTAATTAATTTTTATAAATATTTGAAATACAATTCAATTATTTAATTTTTTTACTCTTTTTATTTATACAAATAAACGGGATGATTTTTTTAATATTTTTTTCCTGTTATTTCAACTCATCCAAATATTAAGTACTTTTCACTTTATTTTTTTAATTTCATCTGACATCCAAACAAAATATAAAAAAAAATATAAATTAGAATATAAAATGTAATATAATTTTTTTTAACATTGTATATTTTTTAGCCTGAACCTAAAAGTATTAATACAATAATTGATAATATTTATCTATATTATTATTATTATTATTATTATTATTGCCTAATATCATTTTACATTTCACCCTTTTTCATAATTTTTTATTTTAGACAAATGAAAGTATAATTTATAATCTTTTACTTGTATACTTTAATATTAGAAGTTCACAATTTCTTTATATTTTTCATAAGAATTGTAATTTTACAAAATATTTATTGTGTTTTTAATTGTTATAATTGGTAAAAAAAAACATATGTTGGATAACTGAATTTTAAATAACGAAGACTCGTTTGGAGATTGAGATACTTAAAAAACATGAAAACACGAATAAAAAATATTATCTACAAATATAAAACGCATGTAATTTTGAAAAAAAATTACAAAAATAAATACTAAAATATCTTAATCATACTTTATTCACTGTGATTCCTAACCAAGGCTTGTTTACTTAAATTGACAATGCCAATACCTTTTGAAAAACAAACTTAGTTGAAATGGCAAAGCTCTAAACCATCTTTTGATGTAACAGGTCAATTTATTTAAAAAGCAATAGAATATTTAAAATAAAAGCTCTTTTTTATTACATAAATTAAAAACAAAAATGACTTGGTTTACAAAAATTCAGAACACAGTGAATTTATTTGACTGAAAAAGTAGAGAATGCATGATTGATTGTGGGAAAGAAAATAAACTGGAAAGTCAAAACAAAACAGCAACTAAAATGGGTCACGAAATTGATTTCCATAATTAACGCGACGGGCCATGTTATTAATTGATTTATGAACGATGTGGGACATAAGGGAGACCAAATACCAACAACTTTAGCATCCTATCGAAAGCATCAGGTCCCACACATCACCTTCGTTTCCATTCACTTCACTCAATCAATGTCACCATCCATCATCATTTCGCCACCTTCTAATTCTGTGTTCACTGCATTTCCCCCATCTCCATGCGTTCTTCATTCTCCCCTGTTTCTATGGATTTCCCCTTTGCATCATCACCTTCCTTCTTTGCTCTTTCCCCTTCTACCAACATATATACATACAGGGACATTTGATACTAATATAATTTAGTTATGTTATACACTTTGTAACTTAATTGCTTTCCTCTAATATACCACTCACATATATAACGAAAAGAATTAATAAATTATGTGTCTTTCTTTATATAAATTTATTCTGGTTACACTTTCTTAATTATTTCACATGCAGCCAACTAAACAACATGTCTGCACCCTTCAAAATTAATATTTTTAAAATTAAAATAAAGTAACATGTTCAAATAATTTTATCATTTTATTGTTTTTTATTTTTTGCTATCTGATTTGATCTCAATTAGAAACACAACTTAATTAAACCCTTGTCTTTTTTCAATTTTTTTCTCTTTTTACTTGGTTTCGTTTACACCCAAAAACAATATTAAATTAGTTTGTTGACAGTTTACGACTTAAATCTTTGACCAATTTATTCTTTAATTTACTTTGAAAACAGTCATTGACCAAGATTTACCATACATCACTTTTACATTATCTAAAGTGTTAAATACAAATATTAAACTGACATCATCAACTTAAATTATTATTTCTAACTTGAATTATTATTATTTTTTATATAGACCAAATTAATTTTTAACAAAAGATAATTGTGGAACAATAACTTTAATTCATTATTACTAATTAAGCTAAAAATTATATTGTATTAGTTGAAATCGCATTAAATAGTTTTTGTGTACAAGATCTTCAGGGGAAGGAATGAGTTAAATATAAAGTTTATTTTGTGACATCTCAAATGCAAAACTTTATAGGATTTAGATTTCTCATTTTATTTACCAACTCTTAATATTTTTATATGTAAAAAAAAACTTAATTTAGAGATGAAACTTAATTTATGACAAATTTAACAAATATATTATTAAAAAAAATAGATGGTCTTCCTTTTCATTTATGAGATTTAAAATTGAGAAAAAAATTGAGCTTTATTCGATCACAAACCTTAAAAACTAATCTAGTTATCAGTTACGAATATGAAGACCACAGTTTTTATACTCTCCTATTTAGTAGTTATAATTTTTTTAAAACGATAAAAAAAATTAAATTAAATGTGAAAAAAACAATATTTATATGATTCTATAATTTTTTAAAAATTAATGAATGTGTTCCTAACGGTTTATCTTTTTTTATATATATATGTTTGCAAAGATTTTGTTAAATTTTTTTATTCATTTTAATGTATTTAGGTATTTTCTTTTGTCAACCAGTATTTAACTCATTATCATGACTATTTTTTATTTTAAAAAAATTAAAAAAAAGTATCGTGTGCTAATTATATGAACTATTTTATTTATTTATTTAGATTATATGTATCATTCTCTATAAAATAATCATATAAATATTTTAAAAAATATTTAAAATAATTATAAGTAAAGTAATTTGATTTAAAAAATGTAAAAATATACAATTTATTGTATTTTAATATAGTTATTATTTTAAAAAAGTATTATTTATTACTTTTTTAATTAGAACCTAAGCATAGTAATTAGAAAAATCTTTAAAATAATAAATATTTAAATTCTCTTAAATAAAAGTTTAAATTTTGCATTAAAAATTTCCTCCAACGAAGACCTAAATAAAAAATAGGCTGTAACAAAAAAATAAAAATAAAAACTAGGCTGGCAAACATTTGGGTTTGTTTCCTTATTTACCTCAAAAAGGTTTCATCAAAATATCCGGCTGTTACATTACAACATGATTACTCACATTTATTGTTAGTACCACTCTTCATCCCTCATTTCTCCACTCTACTTCGTCACTCAAATAATTATTCATCATCCATCATCCATCATCCATCATCCATCATCCATGACCATAACATTCCAAATCTGAAGAACCTTCACATTGATCCAATGGCCGCAGCCTTAGAGTGCTGGTCAAGCCGCACCACCACCACCACCGGGGACGATGACATGGTAGAACAAGTCCTCATGAGGACCCACCATAGATCCGAGGGTACCTCTCCCAAAGACTCACCTTTCCCTGTCCACAAAAAGCTTCAGAAACTCACTCGTAACGTCTCTGAAGCCATTGCTTCCTTCAAAAACTCCCTTAACCTTGATTCTCCACCCTCTTCTTCTTCTTCTTCCAAAAACGATGCTTCTTCTCGGAAACTCGCTTGGGGCACCGTTGTTCGCAGCCTCACTCAGCTCTACCCTGGAAGCCAGCTTCCTGAGAAACTCATGTCCAACATTCGCAAACACTATGATTCATTGCCTCTCAGGTCTCTGTTTAGCAAATGCCAACCACCCTTTTCATCAAGTTTCAACTTTTTCGCACACGTAACACTAATGCTTCGTTTCAATTCCCCCTTTTCCCACATGGGTTTTGCTTATTTTAATCCAAAGTTCACTTCTTTAGCTTTACACAACTTAAAACACGACTCATGGAATCAAGGGTGTTTTTTTCTTCTTCTCTTTATTGTTATACCGTTTCACACACTTCACACCAATGCTTCATCTTAATTCCCAGCTTTCCCTCATGCGTTTTGCTTATTTCAATCCCAAGTTCCCTCCTTTAGCTTTAAACAACTTGAAGTCTTCCAACTATGGGTGTTTTTGGTTCTTTTTATTCTTTGACCTTTTTGTTTAAAAAAGTTGTTTTTTCAATGTTTTACAGTTATGCACAGGCTGAGTTTGATATGAAAGATGTCTTTCTTCACATAAAGTTGATGGAGCAAGCTTCAGAGAGTGACCACCCTGCCATTTTGATTCAGGAGTGTGATGATGAAAATCGAGGGTCGGCGTTGAAGCTAACTTTTGCTTGCAACTCTACAATTTCGTGGCCTGCAATGTCTGGTGCGTTGAATAGTTCCTTCATTTGTTGCAAGAAGGTGCAGATCTTTGAGAAGAAAGGTTTTACCTTGGGGGTTATGCTTCTTGTTGTTCAGTTTGGGCATGATAAAATGTTGAGGACCAGGGTTGAAAACTCTTTGAAGTTCGCCATGAGGAAGCCCAAAACAAACGCTGTGAAGCTTCCCTTTGGGCTTTGTGGGTGCCACGAAGAGAATTCCAAGGGGAGAGAACTTGTGGAGATTGAAGAAGATGCTGGTGATGCTTACCGTGGAAGGGAGTTTGAGAATTCAAGCCCAAAGGTTCAGCTTCAGTTGCCCTTGCCTTCTTCATCTTTTGTTGTATCTGTGGATGAATGGCAGACAATAAAGTCAGGTGGGGATGAGATTGAGAAATGGTTGTTGAACTCAGATAGTGTTGAGTTCGTTGAACAGATTGGACCCAGTTCTTATAAAGGGGTATATATGGGGAAAAGGGTTGGGATTGGGAAGCTGAAAGGGTGTGATAAGGGAAACTCTTACGAGTTTGAGCTCCACAAGGATCTGCTAGAACTGATGACTTGTGGTCATAGAAACATTCTTCAGTTCGGTGGCATTTGTGTGGATGATAATCACGGGTTGTGTGTGGTGACTAAATTCATGGATGGTGGGTCTGTTCATGACTTATTGTTGAAGAACAAGAAGCTTCAGACTAAGGATATTTTGAGAATTGCAGTTGATGTAGCTGAGGGGATCAAGTTCATGAATGACCATGGTGTTGCATATAGAGACCTTAATACACAGAGGATTCTGTTGGATAGGCATGGGAATGCTTGTTTGGGAGATATGGGTATAGTCACTGCCTGCAAGAGTGTTGGAGAAGCAATGGAGTATGAAACTGATGGTTATAGGTGGCTTGCTCCAGAGGTTTGCCCTTGCACCTATCAATTAACACTCATTTTAAGTCAGCAAAATACTTGTTCCAATTATGCAAAGTTGTGTCACACGAATATGTTCCATAGTCATATGCAGTTCTGTGATGCCTTTTTTCATTCATCATCCATAATATTCTCCAGCTGAGCAGTTTTTCCTAATAAAAAAAAATAATTTAAAGATTGGTAACTCAATTTGGTATCTATCCCTTTTAAGAGTTAGGGTCCCTCTCCTTCTAGTTTGACACCTAGACAGACACCTAATCTAAATCCTCTTGGCTTTTAGGTAAGATATATGGTTGTGACTTTGCTTTTATGCCTTTTACCTACTGGTGCAGAAAATCTTTTGACACGTAACGATCTGGTTTTGAATATAGGGTGAGAAAATGCTCATGGATTTGCTATATGCTTTCTCAATGAAATAATTTCTTTTATATGCACCCTTATTCTCAGTGACTTAGAAAGTTTTTGACTTTGGCACTGATTAAAAGCAGTGGTAGAATCATAATTCTATTCAACATGGAAAAGAAAAAGATTTTCTGCTTGTGATGCTTATTTAGCCAACCTGGTGTGCTCAATGCTCATCCAGGAATGTTAGAACTTTACCAATTTACCACGTTGTTTCTAGCAGTCTAGCACTAACAGTATCTTAAAACGTTTCATTATATTATATGCTTATGCATGCATGAAGAATGGAAGAAATGTTTTTAACAATTGCATTGTTAATCTGTAATCTATAATTGTCCCCAGATGATGGTCAGCAAAAGTAATGTCTAGGGTTAGGATAATTTGATTTATAAATTTTCTTCTCTCTCTTTCTGTACACACACACACACACATATATATATAGTAGCTAGTTCAGTGACAGATTCCAGTCTTAAGCATTTTAACTCTTTCATCTTTATTTGTCTGTTCTTGATGGTTTATGGCCCCGCTTGTTTAAAAGTTGAGTATAATTGATTTTTATTAAATTAATTTTGAACCATTGAACTTAATTAGGATATGTCACAAAATTAATTTTAGCCACATTTTTATCGAAACGTGTTTTTTATTAGAATGTGTGAGAATTGATTTAACAATTACTTTGTACAACTAGAAAATGGCATACTTTTCAATTGGAGATCAATTTATAGTAACTTTTGTGAGTATTTTTCACCTGAAAAAATGCTGTTTGGATCTTTTGTATGTAAAGCAATGCAGAACTAACCTACATTTAAAAGAAACTTTATGTCACTTGTCCTGGCATCATTGTTTGAGCATGCCTAATAACATGTCTTAATAATAATTGTTTTCTTCCTTTCACTTTATAGTGTATAACTTTATTTAAGCACTCGTGTATGTCATTAGAGAAATAAGTGTGCTTCTGTAATGCCAATTACACCAGAATTAATTATGCACTGGAGCCCGCATGTCTTAAGGCTTTAACATGATTTTTGTCCCAGTATTCTAGCTATTTGTCCTATTGATAAAGCTACTCATAAAGCCCTCACACCTCGTGCGCAGGCAGAAAAAAACATACAGAAACTATGTACTAAAGCCATTCATTCAAAAAGAAAAGTGAGAACTGAATAGAAAGACACGCCATAAATCAAAATATTTACTCACAAGAGTGGTTTTTGGTTGTTGTGCATAAACAAGGTGCTTTTCATGCTTTATTAGTAACAGTCTTACAACAGAAGATCTCGTTACACATCAACTACAATCACTCATTCACATGAGTATAGGTGATAAACATTGATTTTTGTCCAACCAAGCCCACCTACACACACAAATGAGTGAAACTACAAGCTGCCACTGGAATAGATTTGTAGTTGTGTACTAATAATATGTGTGTGCATGTGATGTACTGTATCTAGACTTCTTTTTGTTTGGGGTGCATGATATTTTCTTAGAATAATGATATAAAAAATTTGCAAGAATTCACCTCAGACTTAGTAATAATTTTCCTTATAATCTAAAAGAAAATGGAAAAAGCTCTAGTGACAGTGAATTGTTGTACCTTTGTCTAGTTAATCATTTCATCATTACTATTGCTACCGATACTACTACTATTACGTTGTTGTTGTTATTTTTGTGTAATAGCAAATAAATTTTTTGATATTTGGTGCACTTTTTTTTTATTAAAAAATTATATTAGTTACCTTGACCTCATGCTGACTAGTTTTATTCACTTTCTGGTTTTGTTGGGCTGAAAACAGATAATTGCAGGGGACCCAGAGAATGTGACAGAGACATGGATGAGTAATGTTTATAGTTTTGGGATGGTAATTTGGGAGATGGTAACTGGTGAAGCTGCTTATTCTTCATTTTCACCGGTGCAAGCAGCAGTTGGAATTGCTGCATGTGGCCTTAGACCTGAAATTCCCAAAGATTGCCATCAAAATCTAAAATATATTATGACAAAGTGCTGGAACAACACCCCTTCAAAACGTCCTCACTTCTCTGAAATTTTAGCTATATTGTTGCGACCAAACAACAATAGATAAACTTCTATATATTATATTATAGGCCTTTGTGGAACTTAGTCTGTTGATAAGAAAATGATCACAAGTTCATGTAAAAACATGAATCCCCTTCCTCATATAGCTGTAATGAAGATGTAAATTTTCTACTTTTTGCAATCCTGTACCATCGCTTCATGGCATCATAAAATTTTCAAATTTCTTTGTCATCATAATTTTACTGTTGTCCTTTTTAAGATTCTGTTGACAATAAAATTATGAAAAATGTTAGTTTTAACTTTTAAAGCTGATGATGAGCAAGTAAAAGTAATAAGTTTTAATCGAAAAAGAACTTATTTATTATCTTGAAAACATGGAAGCGTAATAAATATTATATTTATAAATATTTAAATTTAACTTTTAAATATGATATTAATAAAATCATAAAATTATTACAATGAAAATACTTAAGTATAATATTTTAAGTATTTTTAGTAGAATGTTTTAAAATTAAAATTAGAGTATTAATAGTGGTCAACATTAATTATAAAAAACATAGTGAACATCACTTATTTTGTCCTACTGCATTAGTCTTCAGATCTCTGAGTGGTAATCTAGGAGCATTTTCTTGTGAAATCTAGGATAATTTTCTGAGGAATACTAAAGGCAAAGGATGACACGTTTTGGGGGCCTGACAGTGGTCATTTCGTTGGTTCTTCTTTTGTTTGATTCACGGTGGCTATCCTAAGGGGATCAGAAATGGGTCCCATTTGATTTTATGTTTCTTCAGTGGTGAAATAATCCAACCTTTTCGCTACGAAGTGATGTGTTTTCTGTTTGTGCCAGGCACAATTATTTTTACCCATATCTGCTCCCATGATCCATTGAGCCGTTGACAAGTTTATATTTAATGGAGTAATGCATTGTGAATCACATTACTGTCATCACTATTCTTCTGTATGCATTAACCAGAAATTTTATCCACAGGACAAAGCAATTCTTTAAATATTTATTGGTTGGTAGGGAAGATGGATCAACCTTCACCGCATATTTATAATTTAATATTTATACAACTGTTGGAAGTGTATATAAACTATTGCTATTTTAAAAATTACTCAATAATAAGGTTAATTTAATTTTACAAATTAACTCATAAAATGAGATTTACTTAAGTTTAATAAGAAATATTATTATGTCCTGAATTGAAGTGAAACATCTTAATAAACATTATAAAAAAAAAACCACGTAGGTATATATTTGTTTTGACATCTTCACTTTTTTAAGAGATTGCACCATTAGAAGGAAATATGAGACAATTTTTTAGTGGTGATGTCTTACAATTCCCGGGAGTTAAATTTGTTTTCTTTAGATTAATTGATCATTAGTACACTCTTTATTATTAGTTAAATTTTATTAAAAGATAAATATTAATTTAAAAGTGAGATTTTTATAATTTTTAATAAAGTTTAACTAATAATAAAAAGTATGTTAAAAAGTATTATTAAAATTATTCCGCTATAGATATAATGTAAGGAAGAGTTATTCTAATTGTTTTTTAGTTTTTGTTGGTTAAACAAAAACAATGACTTTAGGAACAATTATATCAATGGTTATATAGCATGCTTCTTAATCTTCACTTGCTTTTTTTAGAAATATGATTTATTTTAAATGACGATAAGGTGATTGATGGGAACAAATTAGCTTTTATCGAACTAAGTGAATAAATACATAAAGACAAATCAATAATTATTATTGTAAAACGACTATTCATTTCTCGAAGATGTCTACATAATTCGTATTTGAAATGATGATAAATTATGCATATCACAGGATAATGAAACTTTGGTGAACGATGAGTGCTAACAATTATTTCCCATAATTTTTTTGTTGTACATTGTAAACTCATTCCACTCAAAATAAAGTTCTACGTTTAGTTGACATCACAAAGTAAAAGCGAACTCAAAAAGTTAACATTGAAGTGTCAAAAATATTATATCTAAATCTAGGAATATTCGAGGGATGAATTGAGATATATTTAGTTTGATAGTTAATTATTTAAATCAAATTAAATTAGACTTAAACTCAATAATGTACAATATAAGATTAAAGTAATTTGATTAGTTGACATAATATATAAGTTTTAAATTTGTTAAATAAAAAGAACAACCACACATCATAAAAATACTATTAAATTTTTAATTTGATTCAACGATGAATGATTTTACAAACGCAGATTTATTAAGATTGTTATGAATTTGTGCATGTATAATTTTTTCTCCTCTTCTCTCATAAAAATGAGAACTCTCTTACTCTAATTACTTATCTCTCTTTAACTTTTGAGTCTCCAACATAAGATAAAAAAGATAAATATAACCTTTCTCGTTTTAACTATTGAGCTCTTGTTATAAAATGGAAAATATAAATATGATATTTTTTACACATAATTCTAAAGACTAATCTCCACTTTTACAAGTGAGTTTGCTCATTTTAAATATTTTCTCCACATATAATATGAGCCCTGATATCTAGCATAACTCGCATTAAAAAAAAAAAAACGCTAAAGTAAAGAGGATCTTGAGTTTATTTGAACTTATCACAGTTTACTTCAAATGGAATAGGTCCTACAAATAATCTAATGTAAATCCAATGGTATGCTTTGACCAACAAGAAAATAACAATAGTAAAATACTTCAGTGGGCATCTAAAAAGAGTGAAATTGGGGAGAGAAGGTGAGTGGTCCAAACACTAAGGTGTGGTGTCTTGGTTTAGATGTTTGAAGCTTTGAATAAGAAAAGATTGGTAAGGATAGAGGCATGATATTTATTGTAGGAGCAGTGTAAATATGATAAGGTAAAAAAGATGAAAAGGACAAAAGATGAATAAATTCTATCGGACAAAGAACGAAGGCGATTCGTTCTTGCTCGTATCACAATGTAGCAACCCTACTTTACTTGGATGATGTGCTTTTAAAAATGTTATCTTTGGATTATGAGCCTTTAATCCAAGAATCATTGGTCGATTACTATTATATGATTTCTATCTCCCTCCCTCCCTCTCTCTCTCTCTCTCTCTATATATATATATATATAAACAAATTTCTATTTTCAATCTTTAATTATAAAATTAAATCTTAATTTTGACTTTTTAATTTTAATTATTATTTTACCATTTTTATACTTTTTTTAATTATAAAATAGTTATTTAAACATTACACATATAAATACAAATGTTAATATTATATTAAACATAAATATTTATTTATGATATAATAATTAAAATTTTACTATGATGTGAACTTTTTTTAATTATATTATTAATTATAATATTTTTTTTTATATATGTTTCAAACATAACATAAATTATCTGTTGTTTAAATTTTGATGCAAGAAAGAATGTAGTTTTTAAATGTTTTAAATATGTATTTTTATATATAGTTAATATATTTTTATATAGTAAAGTTATTTTTACAATTGTTTTAAGAATTATATATTAAATTATTTATAATATTTTAATTATTATTAGTCAAATTAAAATATATAATATATATAACTTTAAAATACTTATTATAAAAAGTAATCATTTTTATTAATATAACGATAGAAAAGTATATTGTCATATCAATAAAATTTATTATAATTTATTAATTAAAATTTTTATAAAAACTAATTAACAATAAGATTTGTATTTTTATAATAATTTTATTATTAATTATTTTAAATAAAGTTAATTTGATCGATGTGAGTGAAAATTAAATCCAGTTTATGTGAAAGTTGACCATGTGCATTCAATTACATTGAGAGACAATATAATATGTATTGTTTTTTTTACTGCCAACTATATTATATATTGTTATACACGATTAACATTATTACGGTTACCTTTCTTCTTAAATTTTTAGTTTTTTTTTTTTTTTTTCTAAAAGCAATGGTAAAAAAGTATGTTGAAGTTCGTCACGTGTGTAATTGATTTTGAATTTTTTTAACCATGATAGATTAATTGATATTTGTGTAAGTTAATTCACAATCTGATTATAAGACAAAAACTCTTGTTTGGATCTTATAAATGAATAACATTTTTTTTACGACTATTCGACAAATTCGGGTTAACCTTAACAAAATCAATGTGAATGACAACACTTTATTTTTTAACTTTTAATTTAATTGTATTTTAAAGATTAAATTTGACACTACAACTTAAGTATAAACAATTATTTATGTTATATTCGATGGTGCGACAAGTATATTAAAAAAAAAAGCTATGTGGATTTTTTTTTTAAATTTAAATTTTATTTATGTAATGGAAAACATTTTTCTTGATTTTAGAAGAGCCCACCATTAAAATAAATTTTAAAATACATCCATGAAAAAACAGAGAAAAAAGTAACTGAAAAAACAAAGACCGCAAGATTGAATGGTTATTTCAAAAGGAAAAAAAAAAAGACTTATAGGTGGGTGGCTTAACATTCTTAAAACCAAATTTGTATCTCATTTTGTATTCAGAATGGCTTATGATTTAAACAGTTAAAAAATATAAAATCAAAATATTCATCTTACAATAAGTAAAAGTCAACATTCAATAATTCTCAATCTATCTCGTTAACATACAAACATAACATTTGTTTCGAAATTGTTTTTTTAAACATTTTAAAACAAAATCAATGTTTTAAAAAGTTATAATAATTGTGTTTATCTTTTTGTGAAATAGAAGACTAAAATCTGTTAATTAAAATATTAATTAAAAAATCTACATCACAAAAAGAAGCCTAAAGAAATAAATCTTACATCATACTTTTTTTTCGCAATATTAATTTCATTTGACTTAATGCATAAGACCATGTTTGTTTGGGGATTGAAATAAAATTTTACCCTTTACAAACTACGTTAACAGAATTTTTACAAAAAGACATTTGCTTTGGTCCAGACGGAGGTTATAAATGAAAAAAATAAAAATAAAAATCTATATGTGATATTAGGTTGCTAACTGTAGAAAATATTACTATTTTTGTTAAATATTGTTAATGAGTCCTACAAATATTGATTAAAAATTAAAAATATTTTTATTAAAAATTACTGAAAAAATATAGTTACCTCTACAAGACAAATTTTAGGACACCGTTGTCTGTAACTGTAAGGAAAGAATTAAGGTCTAAAAAAAGAGAATACATATAAATAAGAATAAAAAAAAATTCTCATGCTAATTAAGAATAAAAAAGTTCGAAACGAATCTTAAAGCTGAATGGCAACGAAACGAACACCCTTTTAATTTATTTCAAATGTAGCAACATGAACCATTGCAGTTTGTAAATACTACATATGATAAAAATAATTATATTTTTTCGCAATATTATTAACTAGCATCATCCAGAATCATCATGAAAATAAGTATGTTGTAATATTTTTTAATAAAAATTCATTTTTTTTCGAACTCAAATACTATAATTAATTTAAATATTTAAAAAATATATTTTTAACAAAAATTTATTATACTAAAATTAAAAGATACTATTTTAAAAAACTTTTTTATTATTAATTATTTCAACTCAATTCTAAAGTTAATATTCTATTTCTTAACAATAATATTCTAAAAACACGTATTAGCAATTTTCAAACTGTTATTAATATTTATTTTGTTTTGTCAAAATAAGGCAGCAAAACGCCCAGTTAAAAAAAAATTGTGACCAACAAAGGCATTTACGCTGTAGTTTTGACTTTATTTCCCGTTTTGGTACCTCTTTACTATATCGAGGGAGTGTACTTAGGAGTTAACCTAAAAAGAAATGGACGTCGTTTGGATGAAACGACAAATGGAGACGGCAACGTGGCACGTACTCGTCCCGGTGCATTCGTTTTGTCTACACCGATCGCTCACGATTCTTCCATAACACAGTAACGCTAACAACAGGCCCACACCTCTCTCTCTCTCTCAGACTGCACACAAGAGAAGAGACAACGAAAGAAATGGTAGCGAGTAAAGAGAAAGGGAAAACCACTCTCCCAATTCCAAAACCCTAGGTGCGTATCACAACTTAGAACTCTTTCATTTTGCAAATCCATAAATGCCCCTCTCCCTCTCTCTCTCTCTCTCTCTCTCTCTCTCTCTTTTTCTCTTATATCACTCTTCCCATTTCCAGCCCCAAAGAAACCAAACTCTCTCTCTCTCTCTCTCTCTATCGTTTTCCAATTTGATTCCATTCTTTCCTTCTCCTAAGTTCCATTCGGTACGTTGCTTCACTTCCATTTCACTTCCTTTCTGATTAATCTTCTTTTGTTCTTTCTACCTTGTTCCCAACTCGAATCACGTGCAACTTAGGGTTTTCTAATTTTTTTTTAAAAATTTATATATCATCAGCAACATTGATCGTTCCTTGCTTAATGTTTGGGGATCTTCTTTTTAATCACGAGTTTAACTTGATTGTGTTTGTCTTTGTTTTTGTTTTGGTGGTAATTTCGATGGTGCGGTTTCGATGCGTGTTCTGCAGCTTACTGCACTATATGCTTCCTAGAAAGAGACCAAGTGAAGGAGGAGTGGTTGTAGAAGAAGATAGTGACGCCACCACTACTACCAACAACAAGGACGCAGGTGCTGCGGCGTCGTTTTCGAAGAAGGCTCGGATCGGTTGCTTTGCTACCTGCTCGGGATCGACGGCGAACGATAGTGACCGGAGCTTAAGTAGCGGCGGCGGCGACGACAGCAACAGGCGAAGCGCCGGGAACTCGATCGGAGGAGCGTCAGCAGCGATGGCTTTGGGCGAGTCCAACCCGCCGGAAATTGACGAGGATCTGCATAGCCGTCAGCTTGCTGTTTATGGCCGGGAGACTATGAGGAGGCTTTTTGCGTCTAGCGTTCTCGTTTCGGGGATGCAGGGTCTTGGTGTGGAGATTGGTAATCGAGGCTTTGAGCCTTTCCTTTTAACTGTTTTATTGTTAGTTAATGATGTTTATTGCGTGAATAGATGTGGGGGTGTTTTGTTTTCGTTTGCTTTTTCAAGATGGTTATATATCTGATGAAAGGGGGGGGGGTGGTGGTGGCGATTAAAGCTTCGGGGTTTTTAGAAGACTGCAAGGTTTTTGGATGTTAACTTGGGAGTTGAGATGTTAATTTACTGTATTTTCACCTATTGACTGGTTAAGGATCATTGTTGCATGTCTCAGGCAACCTTGCTGAAGGTCCCTATTTATGGCCAATCTGTTTTATACTAATTAATTGATAGAGTTTGTAAATACATAATGCAATTTAAATCATTCTATTTGTCATGTGACTTGATTTTTTAATGGTTTGGGAATATAAATTTAAATGGAGACAGCTCTGTTCTTTTTCTGTATTCTAATACAATTTACTACCTGCAGCAAAGAATCTCATTCTTGCTGGCGTCAAATCTGTAACCTTGCATGATGAAGGCACTGTGGAGTTATGGGATTTGTCTAGTAATTTTGTATTTACCGAAAATGATGTTGGCAAGAACAGGGCTGTGGCTTCTCTTAGTAAGTTGCAGGAACTTAACAATGCAGTGGTGGTACTGAGCTTAACAACTAAGCTGACAAAAGAACAGCTTTCTAGTTTCCAGGTATTTCCAATCTTGCTTTCTACTCCTTTCTACTTTTTGAGCTTCATTTTTTTCTTAAATTTGTTTTTATGTACATCCGCTTTATATCAAGTGAGATTATATGTGTACTTTGACTTGTTTTGATGTCCATGGAACTTTGAATGGATTTTCCGTATGCATATGTTGATAGTGAATGGATTATTTGATGACGTGTGTTTGAAACTTCTGCTGCAGTTTTGTTTGGATCTGTATTTTTTTACAAACCTGGTGATTAATAATGAGTGGATAAGAATATGCCATTTCAAAAATTAAAGATTATGGGGGGTTGCTGTAAATGCAGAGCCATTGGTTCACATGTCTGTATTGGGTTTACTCTTGACTTTGTTTGTTATACATTGGTAACAAGTCTCTAGTCTCTAGTCGCATATCATTCATGAAAGGGCCTGGATTTGTTAATTAATGCTAAAATTTTACATCTTTATATCCTTGAATGGATGATATGTATCACATTAAACTGCGTCTCATGCATTGTCTACTATTGTTCTGAAGCCGATTGTTTGTTACTAGCTTAATGTTGATAGACACATTTTCTTGCAAATTTTGAAGTTAATTAAAATGTATTTGTTGTTTGAAATGGGGTATGTGTATGTGATTCCTTTATGTTTGTGGTAGTACATGTTCTGCGGTATGGATATTGGTAATTGGCAATAATGTGGTAGCCTGGAAGGAGAGAACTAAGTTCATCAGTTATGTACTGTTAATAGCCAAAAATTAATTCTGATATTCTTTGGATTGCTTGATATTATTTGACAAAATGCGAAGTGGGGTAATGTTACTGTTTGATAGATTTGATCAATGAAGTGTTGTGATTGTAGGATGTTTGAATTTTATTGACTGTTTCAGTAAGATTTGTCCAACTTTCAATTGTGTAATTCTGAAGTGATATAGTATTGTGGATTTTGGTTGATGGTTTAATTTAATGTGAACTTTGCCTGCTCATCTGCGACCATGAATCCATTTGTATGTGACTACTTGGTTGAATTTACTTTTGTTTATTCAACTATTTTGTAGGCTGTTGTTTTCACTGACATCAGTCTTGAGAAGGCCATTGAGTTCAATGATTACTGCCACAGCCACCAGCCTCCCATTGCCTTCATTAAAAGTGAAGTGAGGGGCCTTTTTGGTTCTGTGTTTTGTGATTTTGGGCCTGAGTTCACTGTTTTTGATGTTGATGGAGAGGAACCCCATACTGGTATAATTGCATCCATCAGCAATGACAACCCTGCTCTAGTATCCTGTGTTGATGATGAGAGGCTTGAGTTTCAGGATGGGGATCTGGTTGTATTCTCTGAAGTTCATGGTATGAAAGAGTTGAATGATGGCAAGCCAAGAAAGATTAAAAATGCTAGAGCATACTCATTTACTCTTGAAGAAGACACCTCAAATTATGGTAGTTATGAAAAAGGTGGTATTGTCACACAGGTTAAACAACCAAAGGTTTTGAACTTCAAACCACTCAGGGAAGCGCTTAGTGATCCAGGTGATTTTCTTCTGAGTGATTTTTCTAAGTTTGATCGCCCACCTCTACTGCATTTAGCATTCCAGGCTTTGGATCAGTTCGATCATGAGATGTGCCGCTTCCCTGTTGCTGGTTCAGAGGATGATGCACAGAAACTTATATCTATTGCCAGTAATATTAATGCTAACTTAGGTGATGGAAGGTTGGAAGATGTGAATCCAAAACTCTTACGGCATTTTGCCTTTGGCGCTAGGGCAGTATTGAACCCTATGGCTGCCATGTTTGGTGGAATTGTAGGACAAGAAGTCGTAAAGGCATGCTCTGGGAAATTTCATCCACTTTTTCAAGTAAGTAATATTTTTTTTTTTAGTCATTTTATCATCTGGTATTTTGAAATATTTTGTGTGGATCCAACAAAATGTGTTCATATGAAAGGCTTTTCCGGAATGCTGTTCTGCTGTTAGTCAGCCATTTGTATTTTGTGTGTTCAGTTTGCTTCTTTAGTTGATATTTTATTACTCTGCTTCTTCTTGTATAGTTTTCATTAAAAATAACTCCATAGGCAGAATTTTGTGATTTAAACACAGCAGCCTATATCTCGTCTTGAATCTTTTTTTATGTAACACCCCATTCTGTGTTTTGATCAAGGTACTTTGTTGAAGATGAATTTGTTTCTTATAAATGAAAGTTGATTCTGACTGACTTTGATTCTTGGATTCTATCTTGTACTTATTTTTAATATTTGTATTCTCCTAGCCTAGCATTCAAGTATTATGTGGTAGTTGTACCTTCTTTCTCTCTGTTCTGCACAACCCGTAACGTTCTGGAAGTTATCCATATCTTGAGTTGATATTATAGGTGTGCAAACTCTGAAAATGTTTGTGCTTTTGTGTAAGCAGAAATATATGTACCAAGATTTAACCAAATGGATTTGTATATATACAGTTTGGTTTAAATGCTCGATAATCTAATGTTTTGGTGGGTTGGGGTTCCTAACAGTCTATTTATCTTATTTATAGTATAATAATAGGAGCATGTTGGCAACTATATCTTGTTCCATGTTTCAATTTTTTTTCTTCCCCTTTTTGGTGACCATTTTTTTCTGAGGTTATGATGAATTGACTTGTCCTTTTTCTGGTTTTAACTTGTGTCCCTCCTCTGTGCTTTGCAGTTTTTCTACTTTGACTCTGTGGAATCACTTCCTACAGAACCACTGGATCCTAAGGATTTTAAACCATTAAATAGTCGTTATGATGCACAGATTTCAGTTTTTGGACAAAAGTTACAAAAGAAATTAGAGGATGCTCAAGTGTTTGTTGTTGGATCTGGTGCGTTGGGATGTGAATTTTTGAAAAATATTGCCCTAATGGGAGTTTCCTGTGGCAAGGGAAAACTGACAATTACTGATGATGATGTCATAGAAAAGAGTAACCTAAGCAGGCAGTTCCTCTTCCGTGACTGGAATATTGGCCAGGCTAAGTCTACAGTTGCTGCTTCAGCTGCTGCATCTATAAATCCTTGTCTGAATATTGAAGCTCTGCAAAATCGTGTTGGCCCTGAAACTGAAAATGTCTTTGATGATACTTTCTGGGAAAATTTGAGTGTTGTGATTAATGCACTAGACAATGTGAATGCGAGACTGTATGTTGATCAGAGGTGCTTGTATTTCCAGAAACCGCTTCTTGAATCTGGAACTCTTGGAACCAAATGCAATACCCAGATGGTCATTCCACATCTAACAGAAAATTATGGTGCATCAAGAGATCCACCTGAGAAACAGGCACCGATGTGTACTGTTCACTCATTTCCCCACAACATTGACCACTGCTTGACATGGGCTCGATCAGAGTTTGAGGGTTTACTTGAGAAAACCCCAGCTGAAGTAAATGCATATTTATCTAACCCAAGTGAATATTCTAATGCAACGAGGAATGCTGGTGATGCTCAAGCAAGGGATAACTTGGAGCGTGTTCTTGAGTGCTTGGACAAGGAGAAGTGTGAGACTTTTGAAGATTGTATTACTTGGGCTAGGCTAAAGTATGTTTGATAATATATTCTTATGTTCTCTATTAGTAATATTGTCTGAGCATATTTGTTTTCAATGTATGTTCTACACTGATAAATGGGTATTTATTTTTTCACAGGTTTGAAGATTATTTTGCTAACCGAGTGAAGCAATTAATTTATACTTTTCCTGAAGATGCCGCAACTAGTACAGGAGCACCTTTCTGGTCTGCACCAAAACGATTCCCCCATCCACTGCAGTTCTCATCCTCTGATCTGGGTCATCTTCAGTTTTTGATGGCGGCTTCTATCCTACGAGCTGAAACATTTGGTATTCCAATCCCTGACTGGGTGAAGAACCCTAAGAAGTTTGCTGAAGCTGTTGATAGAGTGATAGTACCTGACTTTCAGCCCAAGAAAGATGCAAAAATAGTGACAGATGAGAAGGCAACCAGTCTCTCTACTGCTTCTATTGATGATGCAGCTGTGATTAATGATCTAATCATCAAGTTAGAGAGGTGCCGGACAAAGCTGCCAGCAGGGTTCAGAATGAAACCAGTTCAGTTTGAGAAGGTCTATTTTTCTCTCATTGAGTTCTCCCCCTTTTTCTGACTGAGGTTTTACAACGGTGCTCAATAAAGCCTTTTTGGTTGTCTTAATTGAATTTGGTAGTTTCAAATGGGGTTTTTGGGGTTTGTGTGGGTTGAGTTTGCCTTTGCTGAGAATAGGAGTGAAGCTATGCAGTACATGGACTCTTCCACCTTTTTATTTATTTATTATAACTTCTTTTCTTTCAAGAAATTAACTTTCTTCTGTAAAACTGCAGGATGATGATACGAACTACCATATGGACTTGATAGCTGGGCTGGCCAACATGAGGGCACGGAATTACAGCATCCCTGAAGTTGACAAACTCAAAGCCAAATTTATTGCCGGACGGATCATTCCAGCAATTGCAACTTCAACTGCCATGGCCACTGGGCTTGTCTGCTTGGAGTTGTACAAAGTTTTGGACGGAGGGCACAAAGTTGAGGACTATAGAAACACGTTTGCCAACTTAGCACTGCCTCTCTTTTCCATGGCTGAGCCAGTTCCACCGAAGGTCATAAAGCATCAAGATATGAGCTGGACAGTTTGGGACCGATGGATTCTAAGAGACAATCCTACTTTAAGGGAGCTTCTTGAATGGCTGAAAGCAAGAGGCTTGAATGCTTATAGTATTTCATGTGGAAGTTGTCTGCTCTATAATAGCATGTTCCCTCGGCACAAAGAAAGAATGGACAAGAAAATAGTGGATTTAGCTAGGGAAGTGGCCAAGGTGGACATCCCTTCATACCGGCGTCATTTGGACGTTGTTGTAGCCTGTGAGGATGATGAGGATAATGACATTGACATTCCTCAAATATCCATCTATTTCCGTTAGGTTGTTTTCGGATCAGAGATGTGTCTGAGACTTATCTTTAGTTAGAAACAGAATGTCTAACTTCATCTTTCCATATTCATAATTGGTACACACAATGCGACACTGTCGACCACATCACAGTTCATATATGAATTCTAAAGCAACTTTCGCTCCTTGTATGTTATATCATTTACCTTGTTTCATGAGATCATCTTATGAACCCTTCTCGTTAATATTTCTCGGTGACTGCTTCATCAATGTTTTGTTGTGTCGTTAAGTTTTTGGATGATCAAGTTTTGAGCGAAAACTAATGTGGTAAAGCCAATGAATAAGGAATTTTTTTAGGACAAATTTAGAATAAATTCCTTATCTTTTTACCTTCAAGTTTTTCAGTCAAATGATGATGATGTATGTGTTTATTTAAAATTTAAAACATTAAAGGAAGTTAGTTATTAGAAGAAGTATCTGTGCATGTGTTATCAATTGGAGAACTAGATGTCCGTAAGAAATTTGAACTAAGTTTTCTCTTTTTAAACATTGGGAGAGGTTAGTTGGTTGATGGTCAAATTTTTCGAACTATTTTTCAATACTGTAGGTTCGTTGGAGGGATAATAAAATGTAAAATAGATTTGTATCAATAATTGTAAGCCGTGAACTTGTAACAACTGCAAGAAGTGTAGTTCAAAAATGAAATGAACTGCACCTGATACGAAAAGGTTTTGCGAGTTCAATTCCAAATTTCCAATTCCAAACTAAACTTATAAATTTTAAACAATATTTTTGAAAATTATTTTTTATTATGTCATGTAATTTTTGTATTAATATTATTTTTTTATAATTTATTTCTTATTAAAAAAATAAGTTTTTATCTCTTTAACTTAGTTTTATTTAATAAAATAAAAATAGTTATATTATTAAAAAATATTAATATTTTTATTTTAAAAATGATTTTAATTTAATAATATTAGAAAAAATATGAATTAATTGTTGATTAATTTTGTTGTACTCTAACAACTATGATTGCGCGCAATCATTGTTGACTTAGAAAGCACTGTGGAATGTGGACGTCATTGGCGATGACTTTTGATAACCGTTATCAGTTGTCAGAGCGTCATAGGCACATCACTTTGGCCACGTCACCCCCTTTCATGCTTTTTGACTTCTCACAATCATTCATAATTGACGTTTCTATCAATTTTCTCATCTTTTAATATTTTATAAATTCTAAAGACATTGTATCTTATTATATATATATATATATATATATATATATATATATATATATTCCATTTTTATTATTAATTGTAATTAATTTTAGTGTATTAAAAATAAGCAAATTATAACCTTAAAAAATCGGTCAAATAAAATTAAACAATATCTTGCATTTCACATGTTTTATTTTTATTTTTTACCTTATATTTTATATTTACTAATTTTTTATATGATTTTTCTATTAAAGATAATATTTATATTAAGTGTGTATATTTTTAAAATAATTTTACAAAATAAAACATCTTATAAAAATTGCACGTGAAAGACTAATTATTTTTGTGTCCGAATGTTTAAATGAGAAAATATTAAATAAAAATAGAGTCTAATATATGAAAAGTTTTAAAAGGCTTATAAACTCAGTGAAGAGAATGGTCAAAATTTTTAAGAATTATCTTTTTAAAAGCAATTCTTTATTCAAAAAATATAACAAGATATTTTTTATTTTACAAAAAATAAATAAATTAAATGTGTGGATATATATTACTAACTTATAATGCTTTTGAATAATAAAAACTTTCATCCTCAATTATTAAAAGAATGCATTGAGCATATACATTAGAGTTCAAACAACTAATGTGACATTATGTATCTTAGACAAAAGTTCTTTCATTTGTTAAAATTCATATTTTTATAATTTAAATACCTTATTTTTTATTTATTAGTAATTGTAACACCCTATATTTTTTTATCTTAAATATATTAAGTTTATAAAAATTTAAAAAGAATAACCAAACTTTCATTATAAAAATTAATTATAATTTTCATAGAAAATATTTTTTGTAACAGTCAATACGAATATAAGACAAATTAAGAAAAATAAATTACATAAAATATACTGTAAATTAATAATATTTATATCCAGAAAGATTCTAGTTAGAACCTAATATATTGTATTTATATATTATTATCTAAAATATATCAAAATTTACAACATTTCATACTCATTTTCACATATTGAAGACCTGAAATTATTTATCTATATCATGTTAGTCCTAAATTTCTACCAAGGTAGACATTAATTAACTCATTATCCTCTCCAAGGTAGACATCACAAGAGTTTTTCACCATTTTTATACTAGGGAATCTCTCAAATGTGTAACTATTAGGTCTTCTTAGCAAATCATGATCATGGTAAGTAAATACATTATTCATAATCCGAGAAGGCTTTTCTATTCCCTGATATAGATAAAAACTAAAAAACTGATGAATTTGACCACTGGTTTAGAAATCAGAAGGAACTGCATAATTATAGATTACTTCTAATGTGTACTCCTCATCGTTTCCAAAATATACTCTAAAATATAAATGTACAACACGTTTATATTCTTTAAATTCATAATTTAATCTATTATTAGCATAAACATTTACTATGCTAATCCACATGGAGTGTGTTGTCATCTTTACTATCTGCAGAGTGGTGTAAGGGTGAGCATCTATTCTATTTTTCAAATACAACATAGAGATATCATAACAATATTATAATCATACAATTAAACATCAATTCATACCATATTACCATACATCATATATTTCAATCATCACACATGTTCACACAATCTCATTGATATTTCCATTCTCTAATTCGTATTTTAAATGCACTGTAATTACAGTCATTGATGGAATTAATAATTTCATCAATTCCAATTTGTCATTTTTTTTGCATTGTGCCATTTTCGCATCAATTGCTCTCCTTATTTTTTCACTTTTAACAACTTTTTCAAACTGAATAAAATTGTTAGCAAAAGACATCACCAAATAAGCTTCATTATCTTCTTTAGAAAGCTCTTCTCTAGTCTCACAATCTCTCATCCACGTAGATGTAACCCTTTTTCTCCTTGCATCTGTACTAGAGGCACCATCATGAGTCAAAACATTCGAGGAAGGATTCTCTACATTTGCATCAAGTTTAGATTCGCCTCCCTCTTCAGTTTCATCAATTCCAGCCACTTTATTTTCTTGATCTCCCTATTCTAAATCACACATAACAGTTTTCATACTTCTGATCCCAATCCCAAGCCTTATCTTCTTCTAACACAACATCCTTACTTATTATTATTATTATTATTATTATTATTGAAGTCTATATGCCTTTGACGCATCACCAATAGTACAAAACTATGCTCCTATCATCTAATTTAGTTCCTTTATGATAAAAAAATATATATATAAACATGAGAAATGCAACTAAAAACAAAAATACTCAACTAAGAGTTTGACTTTGCTCCATGCTTTTTCTAGAGTATGACCTTTAACGGAAAATGTTGGACTTTGATTCAAGACATGAATCATCCAATTGACTATTTCAGGCCAAAAGGTTTTTAGAATTTTCTTTATGGAGAGCATGATGCGTACGATATTCATAATGGTTCTGTTCTTGCATTCTACTAAGTTTTGTTGCGATGTATATGCAACTGTTAGTTGTCTTTGAATGCCATTGTCATTACAAAATTTTGTAAATTCATGTGATGTAAATTCACCTCCTTGATTGGTTTGCAAACATCTGAAAACTAAATCTGATTCTTTCTCAACATGAACTTTAAAATTTTGAAAAGCAACAAATGCTTCTGCCTTTTGTAGCAGAAAATAAACCCAAAATTTTCTACAAAAGTCATCAATGAAAGTAATTAGGTATTTCTTTCCGCTGTTTGAAGCGGGTTTGATTGGTCCACAAATGTTAGTGTAAATTAGCTAAAAAATTTGCATTGCTCTCCAAGTTCTTGTATTTGGAAATGCCGCTCTTTGTTGCTTTCCCACCGTACAATCCTTGCAAAGCTATGACGGAGACTTGGGTTCAGGTAAGCCATTCACCATGTTCTTTTGTTGAAGTGTTTTTAGACCGTTATAACTCAAGTGCCTATATCTGCAATGCCAAAGCTAAACATTTTCTTCTGTGGTTGTACTGAAACAAGCGGGTAATGTAGTTATTACATGAAGCTTGAACATTCGATTCACAACCATTTTTGTATTGATAATCAATCCTTTATCAAAGTGATAGACTATACATCTGTCATGTTGAAATAAAATAGCTAGCCCCTTCTCTTGCAACTGCCCAATACTTAGCAAATTATTCTCTAATTCTGGCACGTAAAATACTCTTGTAATGATTTGCACAATTCCATCCACTTGCAATCTTACATTGCCTTTTCTAGTTACAACTAAACTTACTGTATCTTCAAAATTTTAATCAAAATTTTTGAAATATTCCTTCTTTTCACACATGTAATTCTTGCATCTTGAATTAAGGAACCACGTCTTCTTTGTTACCATCCTTTGCATCGAAAAATTCCATTAACAACATTTTTTTCCTAAATTTAAGCATAATATGCTTCTTTGTTCAAATATTCCCATTGAAAATGTCCTAGTTTGTGACATTTGTAGCATTTTACAGTGGCTTTGTCAAAGCTCTGTCTACTTCTCGCCCTTCCTCTGCCTCTATAAACTACCTTGGCCTGACCTCTTGCACCACATTGTTCCCCAAAATAAATCTTCAAAGCATGTGTTTTTTCAGCTAACACATTCATGTTGATGCGTCGCTCATGCAATAGTATGCTGCTTTGTAGTTCATTACTAATTAGAATGCTCGTATCTTTAGATTTCTCAATGGAACACACAACATAATTAAACTTGGAGGTCATTGATCTCAAAATTTTTGAGACCACTTCAGCATTTTTCTTTTTTCACCATTGCTTTCATCTTGTTAACTATTATGAGAGTTTGGGAAAAATATTCATTGACAGATTTACCACTCTTCATTTCTAGAATCTCAAACTCCTTTCGTAGACCTTGCAGGTATGCATCAGAGGTGCTGAAACATTTTGAAATGGATATAATTAATTCTGTTCATAATCCAATAGTCCATAGGTTTAAGCCTACCAAGGATGAAAGTGAAGTCAAGGTGGATAAAACTTATTACAAGCAAGTTGTTGGCAGCCTGATGTATCTTATTGCAACACGACTAGACATGATGCTTATAGTAAAGTCTTGTTCGTAGATATTTTAAAAATTCTACCTAGCTGCATTTGGTGAAATGAATTTTGAGATACTTGAAGGGTACTACTGAGTTTGGAATCTTCTATATGAAGGGAGGAGATGATGAACTTGTTGTTTACACTGATAAGACTATGTTGAAGATGTAAAAGATAAAAAGAGTACTTCATGTTATATATTTTTATTGAGCTTAGGTG